TTGGCACTTGCAATAAAACCCATCTCACTCCTCCCACTACAGACCTATCTGTATACTTAATAACGTCGCACGGACGTGAACCTCCATTGATCAGCTCTTGCACCACCGACTCCGCCCTACCAGCCACCCATTCCTGAGAAGATGCTGGACAGTGTGTTATCCTGCCATGGAGAAATATCCTATCAGAAATGATTGACGGTACATGGAACAAAAAGCTTGGCACAGACATGTTTACCCCGTACACCAGTGCTCTTTAAAAAAGTGGGCCACGGCTCACTGGTGAGCTGGAGAAAAGTCCAGCTGGACCACCAAAACGTTCTGCATAATCATGTAACAAAGTCAGGAAGGTAGTTTTTCTCTTCCAGCACCGCAGCAGTTGGGATAAGAGTAAAACAGAAAAACTAAATGGATGTTATTGCAGCGCTTTGCACTAGCTGAACATTGTAATTTTGTGACATCAGATTTAACAAATCCTCCTTCTCCTCCTTTTCTTCTTCTTCTTCTTTTTCTTCTACTTCTTCTCCTCCTCTTCCTCTTTCTTCTTCTTCTTCTTCTTCTTCTTCTTCTTCTTCTTCTTCTTCTTCTTCTTCTTCTTCTTCTTCTTTGCATTCGCCAACATTTTAATTCCCTCGCAAAGTTCTGGTTTACCCACGTCTTGGACTTCGATCTGGTCCTAGAACTTGAGTTTTGCATGCAGATCAGTTTTACACTTCTAGTTTATTTGTATGCAGACTATTGATTCCCCGCCTCTGAAGCAGATGCATTCCGACTTCGAAGAACGCCTTAATTAGGCGCCTATTTTACGAGATTCTTTTTAGGAGGGAGGTAGAATGTTATTTTTGTCTCCTAAAGTAGGGTTCTGGCACCTACACGAGGAGCATTACACTCAAAATGATACAGAAAAGTTACCAGATTTCTATTATGTTGTGGCTAAATGTAAAATAGCAAGAGAACACATTTATCTGAAGGTATGTAATCACAGTGAAGAATCCAATACTCGCTTTGCGTTGTAGGTGACTGACAGAACACCTGTATCTGCACTATCATGCTCTGTTCTCTTTCTAGTAGCCAACGAAGAGTCCCTATACTGACGGTTGCATTCTGGGCACCCCCAAACAGAATAAATTCCCCAGATAGGGATACTCTGTATGTTCTCTTGCACTGCCCACTTCATACGTCATGTCATGTCATTTGGCGTGCTCCTCGGTACGGTAAGTGCACTGCATGGCATTGATAGTCAATCCGATACAAGATAGAAAGCTGGCAACGAAAAAAAAAAAAAAAACACACACACACACAATGCAGAAAGCTGGCGACAGTCAACCCTATACAAGACAGAAAGCTGGCGACGAAAAAAAAACCACAAGTCAGAAAGCTGGCGACAGTCAATCCGATACATGACATAAAGCTGGCGACGAGCAAACCGATACAAGACAGAAAGCTGGCGACTGTCGAACATATTTAAGGCAGAAGGCTAGCGTAGTCAACACTATACAAGACAGAAAGCTGGTGACCATCAACCCAGTACAGAACAGAAAGCTGGCGACGATCAAACACAACGCAACACAGAAAGCTGGCGACGATCAAACACAACACAACACAGAAAGCTGGCGACGATCAAACACAACAACACAGAAAGCTACAAGACAGAAAGCTGGCAACAAACAACCCAACACGAGATCTAAATCTGGCGACAAACAATCCAAGACAAGACAGAAATCAGGCGACAAACAAAATAACACAAGACAGAAGGCTGGCGACAATCAAGCCAACACGAGACAGAAGGCTGTGGACAATTATTTTGACCCACCTATAACTATAAGGCTACCACTAGCTCCCAGTCTCGCCGATTCTCTCCCAGAAGGGCAGGCAGTAACGAGACGGGTCCTGCTGGAAGCCATCTTGTTTCTGCTCGCCGACTTCTCCCCTTGTGTTTACTTTCTCACCTCGATATTTCACCGCTCAGTATGTCCTAATCAACACGGATTCCTTCGACAGGTTGGTTACTAGCCGTGGTCTGTTTGTTTCTAGGCTGATTTTATGTTATTTTGTTGGTTAATTTGTCAGTTTTTGCGAGGAAGAATGAGGAGATGGTGTAGAACTGTGTAGACTGTAGTAAGTATAGTAATACTAATTTACTAGTAGTAGTAGTATCAAACTATCATCATAATTCATATGAATGAGATTCAGAATGCACTAGCTGTCTGTACTCTGTGTAGTACTCGTAGGTTAGGCTTGATCAAGAAAAAGTAAATTTGAACTGTGTCCCAGGTTAATAACTTAATTTCACTGGCCGCTCACAGTCAGAGATCGGGGTTATTAATTATTACTGATAAAGTTAAAGCTTCACGGAATGAGAATGGTTAGTTAAAGTAGTTCAAGTGCTATATTAATATTTTATTTTCATTCTCATTATATTGAGCAACAATAGAGCAACACAGAATCAATCAGTACTAGATGAGGACTGATTTGATTGCAAAAGCGAATGACAGTAAAATAATGAAGCTGATATATTGAAGAATGAAATGAATGTATTTTTCAATTGCTACAGACAAAACTGCTTTACTGGGTTTAGTTATTTAGAAGATAGCTGTAACGTAACAGAATGTTTGATGTTACCCTCTACCTGTACTACTTGTCAAATAAAAATGATAATATGTCTTTCAGATGCAGATATACACTATATGCAGATGATACTTGCAGATATACATATTGTCTGGATACATAGAAGATAATGTCTTTCAGATGCATCCGGAAAATATATAAAGATATATTAAAAGAATAATTCAATAAATGAATAATCAGTGAACATGAACAGAGTGAAGCATTCAGTTGAGCATATATGTATATTTTGACTCATATCATGACCCCTTGACCTCTATCACTGAGAATGAACATGTTTCATTAGTGTGGCTTTAAAATTGCCATTTGGTTCACAAGAACCCCCCATATGGTATTAAAATTTTTTTTTTTACTAAATATATTTGTATGCAAACACAGCCATGGCATTAATGAATCTCATAAATATGCTACTGTAGAAATGCAGGTTAGGCGACTTTAACATGGACCCAACTAAAAATACGGGTTGTTGCTTTCCTGGGCGAGTTTTTAAAATGTCAGATATATTTTTTCACTGAAATTGTAAATAAATGGATTGCAGAAACAAAATTGCTGAAAAGAAACTCTGAGATGAATGTGCTGAACTGGAATCCATCCATGATTTTGAAAGGATTACACAAGTTATAACAGAATAGAGGGCTAGACTGTTTCCAGTGTGACACTGAATGGCTCAACAAGATGATGATTATATGTCAGATTTATTTTTATATTAGCTGTTCAAGTCTGAGAGGCCAGTGTATTAAAGCTTTAATTGTAGTATAACTTCTGGTGAGTTTTTTGTTTAATTTTGCCTGGATTATAATACATTACAAGAGTCTTTTTATTCCCACTTAAAACAAATTAGGAAGGCCAACATGGGCAATAATTGCCTGAGGTCGGATGTGTTGGCCGAAAGCACTACTATCATGATGTAAACAGGCACAACACTTTTATATCTTTGGATCAATACAGAAGAATAAAAACAAATAATAATAAAATTATTGTACCTTATAGAATAATGAAAAAAGCTTATGATCTCTACCTGTTCACTATCACCGTGATCTCTACCTGTTGACTGTCATCATGCTATCATACGCAGTTTATTGAGAGTACTCAAAGATAATTCAGACATCCCTTTATGAGTCTGCTGGACAGTTTTCAGATTTGGCTGTACACACAGTTTCTGAATACACTCAGTGGGTAGGTTTTGATACACTCATTCACGTTCTGCTTCCCCTCTTCCCTGATAGCATACTGGCTAGACGCTCACTTGCTGACCTGAAAGTCTTGAGTTAAAATCCGAATTGAGTCTGTTTTTTGGGGTTAAAATTGATCTGGACTCCCTCGTCGACCTGTAGTTGCCAGGCAGTGTCCTGGGAGGTAAAGGGACAGGCACGGTTTTGACCGCATCACCCATCAGGTGATCTTTAAAATATTATTCCTGCATCATATTCTTGATGTCGCACTGATGTAAAAAGGGTCCTTTACTGTTTACGTTTACTTACCATTTACCCATCTACATCTCACCTGCAGAAAGGTGTCATGTAACTTTTCTGGTACCTGCTTCTTGACTCTGGTCTCATAAGTGTGCCAATCAGTGCCTGTATACAGGGTCTCCTCGACTTATGGCCAAATTCACTTCCTGGTAATAAGTTGAGTTTTTATTTCATCACTGTTTGTATTCAAACAGGTTATAAAAACTGTATTCTTGGCATCACTTTCGGGACTTTGGCCCTACCAATACTTGAAATGATTGGCTTCTTCTAATTTGTGGCCTTTCATTTAATGTAGATTGGTGAAGTTATGCCAGCTGGAAATTAGTCATTCTTTTGTGTTTTTTGGGGGCGTTTATTTCCATGCCATTCTTGGTTGTTTCATCAGCCAGATTTACAAGCTCAACTAGTTGAAGTCTTGTAGTTCCCTGGCCAACGCATCAATGTCATCTGCACACCTTGAGTTTGTTATAGTTCAACCTCCTGTCCTGACTGTTCCATGATGTTGTTCTAGGCTACAGTAATAATTCTTCCTAAGAAGATACTAAACAGTGTTGGGGAGAGGAGGCAGCCCTGATCGATTCATATTTTTGTTCGGAACCAGCTCCCTATTTGTCCGTTCAGCGTGACAGCACTACAGTCCTTGGCCAAAAAAGACCTGGTTCCAGAACCTGACTGACTGGACAGGCCTTAGGCATGCAACCACAAAGTCAATAGAAACTGGTGACCCAACGACACGTAGTGTTACTGGATAATGATGATGATCCTACCAATACAGTTATCTTGATTGATTTGCAAATTTTTTTTTTCTGTGGTTGTATAGGTGTGGATGGTTGTAAATTATCTTAAGTCATAAGTCAAGTAGAAGTATGTGATCAAAACATTGTATTCTCTGTTTTCAGATACAACATGTTTTGGAAGTTCAATTTGTTGACTTCATCTCATATAGACACCTTGTTGGATAAGGAGGTAGACAGTGTTGTCTTGTCAGATATTAGAGACACATCTTACTCTGCTCTATCTCCTTCTGTTTTTGATATTACAGAGATAAGGAGGTAGACAACATAGTCTTCTTAGAAAGTATAGACACATCTTCTTCTGCTTTTAAATCTCGTCTTACTCAGACTCGTTGCTGTTAGTAATTTTTTTTTTGGGTCACTATGTGTAGACATATCTTTTTCGCCTTTTTTTTTTTTTTCTGCCTTTCATTTCACATAGGCACCTTACTGGATTAAGTAGGCAGCGTAGTAGTTTTGTAGTAAAGTATGAACACTTTTTCTGCGTTGTCTTCTCCTTCTGCCGCTTGCCATCTCAGATGCTGTGTAGACACCCAGCCTACCTGTTCCTAAGCTTGTTCATGATCAGTTGTAGATATTTATTCTGTGTCACATTGTGATTTTTGTGGGTCCCACAAGAAGATTGATGGTAACCTTGTTTGAGTGTTTTTTTTTTAAAATTTGTTGTGTTCATACATTGATAGTCAGTGTTGCCCATTCATTTATGGTCAGTCTTGTTCATACATTGATAGTCAGTGTTGTCCATATATTGATAGTCAGTATTGTCCATTCATTGACCGTGAGTGTTGTCCATACATTGACAGTTAGTGTTTGATATTAACATTGTTTGTCTGTTATTCGTCCTGTCTCTAAACTGACAGTCAGTGTTGCTAATGTCTGTGATATTAACTTTTTCCCTTGCAGGATGTCACCCTTCGGGAGCTCATGGATGAAGATGATATTCTGCAAGAATGCAAAGCTCAGAACAGGAAGCTTGTGGATTTGTAAGACTGTTTTCTTTATGTGCTGTCAGCTTTCTTTCTTTGTTTCTTTCTTTATTTCTTTCTTTCTTTTTTAAATATCTTTTATCGAGTGTCTGTCACCCTGAAAAAGTATGTTTACTGACACATTTTTTTAAAAAGGTTTGTCAGTTTCTGTCTGAAATGTTCTGAACAGTTCTGTGGCGAATAATGTTAGTTTTTGTAATTTCTCAGTGAAATCTTGATTGCTTGTTATCTTTTCTATTGTTCACATAAGGATAGATGTTAACTGAATGTGAAGCTCATACATTCTAAGTAATATTTTTTCTTTTTTTTAAAAAATAGTATTGTTCAGTCTGAGAATATGAAGGAGCTGATGAAGATGATCACTGTAGAGCCACCTGATGATGTTGATGAGAAACTCCGTTTCAAGTAAGTAGTCAATTCTTCATGTTCAAGAAAGAGAGAGTCAGAGTATGAGTATGAGAGAGAGAGAGAGAGAGAGATTTAATGAATGATGTGGTGCCTATCTTCTTCTTGAAAAAAAAATCTCTCTCCCCCTGTTACATCATAGATTTTTGGGAGAGATGTCAAGATCTTCTATATTATTTTTCTAATGCATGTATAAAATGATCTGAATTTTCTTAAGGATATTCTTGATGCTGCTGTTGCATGGTCTTCTCCTTGCTGCATGTTTATTATATTTCTTTATTATGGCTCTCAGTGGCATTGGTACCAGGGAATTCTCATCTGATGGCCAAACCATCGTAGATCAGACCAGCTCTTTAATGAATTGTATAACTGATTTCATTCCTGGTCTTCTCATTTCCTCATTTTTAATTGTATCATTTCTTGTTATTTTGGCATCTATTCTTCTAAGGTATATATCTCTTCTCTGTTATGATTTTGCACTCATGGTTGTATGTAGTAAGAGTCCATATTTGACATTGGTAGCATTTAGCTGGTTAAAAACATATTCCTTTTGTGATGGCTGTCAGTTCTGCCATTTTAACATCTGCTATTACACCTGTTAAGACAGAAAATGTAAATGTTTGGACATGTAACCAGATCTACCGGAATGTCCACAACTATACTACATTGCTCAGAAGTTTTAAAAAAAAAAGGAGGCAGATCCAGAAAGACTTGGATGCATAATTTAACTGAAAGAGATTGCAGGAACTGATCAGACAGTCGAGAACAACTGGTGACCCAACGGCATGCTGTGTTATGGGACTGTGATAATGATAATGATGCTGCTGTTACACCGATTCTAAATAATTATTTAAGCAATCAATTCATTTTACATTTTTGAATCAGGTACCCCAACACAGCCTGTGAGCTGCTGACGTCTGATGTGGCACAAATCAACGACAGACTGGCCGGGGATGCTGAACTGATAAATATGCTGTACGGCTTTCTTGAGGGAGACAAACCCTTAAACCCTCTGCTTGCATCCTTTTTTAGCAAAGTTATGGGACTTCTGATTACCAGAAAAAGTGAAATGGTTTGTTTTGCTTACTATTATTTACATATATAATTATTGAAAATCTAATCTCACTCTTTTTCATTCTCTCTGATGCATTGTTTTATAAGAATCATTCATTTTCTAAAAGGTCGAGAGTCACTACAGAATTAACAGTAGATAATGGAGGTTGTGGAGGTGCATAATTATTATAGACTAACTAGATTTAATTGCCCAGTATGAGGGAAAAAAGTCTTATTCTCCCATCCTCTATCTCATTTTGGTCTCCACAGCTGCCTTATATGTAGGCCTGTTGGAAATAAGGGTCTGACTAAAACCCTATATTTAATATCCCATCTTCTACTTCATCTTTGTCTCCACCACCACTTTAGTCACTGGCCCCTAAATGCACATGAGGCATCCCCTGTAATACTGCCACCAGTATTTAACATTTTGGGACAAGACAAATGTCTCAGACACACATAGATATGCGGTTTCAATGAGGAAAACAAAAAATAAAATTGTTTAAAATTACATATTCCAGGGAAGTAAAATAAAAATTCAAAAGGATACAATTAGTGATAGTTTATTTTTACTAATTGTTGCAGTAAATAAAGAAATGCACAGTAACCTGGGCCGCCAATATGACTGTTAGATTAAACATTGTAGTCATAAAGGCAAATGAAAATGTAACCTGTCTATTGGTCATGGTTTGGGAGGAGTTAATACTTCATTTGTAATAAACTCATGAAATACAGAAAGGGTTTGTGATTTATAGTATGGATTGGCACCCAATCGGTGGTGTTGTCAAAATCCTGTCAGTCACCTTTATTTGCTAGGACATTGCCTAGTATCTATTTTAAGCTTATAGCTCTGTACAACAAAGTCATCATGATGGGGATTTGAAACCAGGTCGACACTAGCCACTGCACTAGCCCAGTTCCCTAAGGTGTCTGTCACTACCTTCATGCTGATTAATCACTGCATTTTCTTCAAAGAACCATATCTTCAATAAACCAGTGTTCCATAACTTTATATATATACTCACAGCTCATCAAGACAAAGAAACTTGTGTTATGGCCCACCTGACAGCTAAATGAACACAGAAACAAAGACATCTGGAAAAAGCATTAATTTGGTTGAGTTCGATGTCACAAATCATAGCTTTCAGCTAATGCAGCATCTGCTGCTGCTTGTAGGTTATATATATGTAAAATCTATGTAGTTGAGCGAGGTTTCCGTGATATATACCTGTTTTGTTTTCATCCTTGATGTGTAAATCTTACAGATTGCAATCCTAGAAGAAAAAAAAAAACTGTACCATTTCCATTACTTGATTGGATAAACAAACTTACACAAAAATATACGAATATTTAAGTTTTGTAGACACCGCTGTTTTCTTCTGATTTCTCTCACATCTTTGCAGATTTTAAGTACCCGAAGTCAAAGAATGATTTTGTTCAATGACTTTCACATCTTTGCAGATTTTTGAATACCTGAAGTCAAAGAATGATTTTGTTGAACGGTTGCTGTATCACATTGGTACTTCTGCAGTGATGGATTTGTTGCTTCGGCTTATCACTTGTATAGAGTCTCCAGACACTCGTAAAAATGTTACTGAGGTAAGTCTTAGAGGCCAGAATGTTTACCTTGTCTGGAATTGTGGTAATGACCCTTTGGTCTTTTCCTCTTTACTTGTCTGCTTCTTCCTTGTTGCTTGTCTACTTCTTCCTTGTTGCTTGTCTGTTTCTTCTTTGTTTAGTTTCTTCTTTGTTTTCCTTTCTATCTCTTTCTCCTTGAGTCTTGTTGCTTCTTTCTTATTCTGTTTCCTCCTGCTAACAAACGCCTAAACGGTCTAGATCTATTGTTGTTAACACTTTCCTATCATTCCAGGCCGTAATGTTGTATTATGCTATAAGAAGGCATAGGAATCAAAGCCCTTGGCAATATGTGGTTTAGGCCAGTGATGAAGTTCCTCCTCAACATGGCACAAAGCCTGGACAGTATTGAAGATTATAGAGACCATGGATTGCACATTCCAGATTTACTCCAAACGAAGGAATATCAATATGTGTGAAACAAAGCTTGCTGCCAAGACCAGAATAGCAGTGCTGTGTCTGTCTGAGTTTCCCTCCTGGACCAGCTGCTAACCAAAGCTAGGGGTTGGTCTGCCCTTAATCAGTCACTTGCCATCTTAACATTGACGGTTGACTGCAATGGATCTCCAACATGCTAATATGACTTGTCTTGATTGTACACTCTCTCAGACTGCTGTTTTCATGTTAATTTTTCTCTCACAAGGATCTGACATATCCTCCCCAATGCTCTCCTCTGCCCCATGCAGTCCGGATCCCCTGCATTAGCTCATTATTTTCATTATGTAGTTTTCAGTTGAACACCTGCTGCAACAGTATCCAAGTATGAATGAACCCAGTCAAACCCCTTTAGAAGTATATTTCACCTAATTACCGTGAAATTCAAATTTTGATGTTAATTTCAGTGGCTGAGTGCAGAAAAGATTGTTGAAAAGTTGGTTGATTCCATTGTTGCATCAAAAGATGAAGATGTAAGTATCATATCTAGCTGAGTCAGTCTGAACTCATTCTTTTTCTTTCTCTTGCTTGTTTATGTGAAGGGGATATTTGGAGAACTGGTTGGATTAATTAACAAACAGTTGGAGTACGGCCACAACATAAGTGGTCTATTATTCATTTTGGCATAGACAAATGTACGTTGAATTACCAGAGATGCTAAGAATCATAACCTGCACCAACTGACAAGATATTTGATGAGATGATTCAGACAGTTAATATTTATTGCATACATTGATGAAAGCTTATGATTAAAACAAAAACTCTTTGTCTGTCAGGCTTGTGTTCTCAGCACTCTGCTTTAAAGCAATGAAACTTGGTCAACTTATTCGCACCAGGAGAAACGGCTAAATAGCTGTCACATGCGATGCCTAAGAAGAATACTTGCCATTAAGTGGCTGGACAAGATCACAAATGCTGAGGTATTGGACAGAGTAGATATTACATCTTCTCAGTGCTCAGTCTACTAAGGTTTAGATGGCTGGGTCACACCTGGAGAATGGAGGATGACAGAGTCCCTAAGGACATCGTCTGTGGTGAATTAAAGACTGGTAGAATATGTAGAGGTCGACCTCTTCTACAATATAAAGATGTGTGCAAGCAGGCCATGAATGATACATGTATGGAGGTGGACTTGTGGGAACAAAATTCTGTGGACCATGTTGTGTGGAGGGGGCACATCAAGAAGGAAATAAGAAGGAAGAAATTATTGCAGAAAGGATGAGAACTGAATGTGTGAGCAGAAACACGCTAAACACAGTTGTTAACAACGGTCCTGAAATCTCATGCTATAATTGTGGAAGACTTTTTTAACATGGGTGGGTCTTGCTGGTCTCACTCCCCATCGCCATGGGCTGTGATTCCCATGCCTCTTCATAGTGCATTATAACACTGTCCTCTCGAAAGCTGGAAGAGTGCCAATTGGTCAGTCATACTTCTATATGGATAGTCTGAAGAATAGGTTGTTTCTCCTGGAAACAAAAACAGCCACATAAGAGGTTCTGAAAGGACTGCAAATGAAAAGAGAATTGAAAGAGAAAAAAAGACAAGTATAATACTGTGGCCATAATAAAAGACAGAAATTAAAAAAATAAAAAAAATCAGAACTGGAGTAGAAAGTTGAAGACAAGTGAGCAGTAGGCAACAGTGATGCAACTGGGAGGATATAACATAAAGAAATTGATGAACAGCAGTCTAAGAGGCGAAAGAGGGAATTATATTGGAGATCAAAGCAAACCTTGATTGTGTAGATAACACCTGAGCTGATTGATTAAAATATACTACTGTGTCTAACAGTTTGCACTAGTAATCATTTAAGTATTGTTTATATTACCCTTTCTTCCCCTTACTTTTGTCTTTCTTTCTTTCTTTCTTTCTTTCTTTCTTTCTTTCTTTCTTTCTTTCTTTCTTTCTTTCTTTCTTTCTTTCTTTCTTTCTTTCTTTCTTTCTTTCTTTCTTTCTTTCTTTCTTTCTTTCTATCTTTCTTTCTTTCTTCTTTTCCTCCTCATCTCTCAGTTGAAAGTTTTTCTCTCAACTAACTCACACCAGTCTCTTTGGTGACTTTAAGGTTGTCCATGTCTGTTGCTCACAGTATTTGTGTAACCAGTATTGATGGTTGTCCTTGCAGTAATTGTTTAACTGATCTTGCTCTATGATCCCAGATTCACTGCAACGCAGCTCAGTCTCTATGTGATATTGTACGTTTGGGTAGGGAGCAGTTCATACACCAACCGGATCTCTCTGATACAGACCCACTGCTGCGCATCATGGAACAGTAGGTTCTTGTTTATACTGGTGGTAATGTTGTGCTTTTAGCCATTGTTAATGTTATTGGTGGTGTGGTCTCCATAGCAGAGTGATCAGGCTGTTTGTGTGTACTCATGTTTACATGTTTAAAGAAACGTAGTTGCTATTTGTTAATCTCTTTAATGCATCATTTGATTAGAACCATATCAGGAACATAACATGGATTTTTCTGCCTCCAACATTCTTATGTAAGGGTTATTGAACAGGCTGATAGATCTTATAGCTGTTGTTAGAGTTAATGGTGGTGAGGGTCTCCCTGGCGAGTGGTTGTTTGTGTCTATGTACTCATGTTTATGTTGACAATTGTTTTTAAATTTGCTTTTTGTTAATCCCTTTAAGACAAGTTAGCGAAAAGACAATAGAACACAGACATCAAATGAACATCGCTTTCATAGATCAAGAAAAAGCTTTCGATAGAGTAAACAGAAATTTATTATGGAAAGTTTTTGAAAACTACGGTATAAATGGAGAAATTTTAGATTGTGTTAGGGCTATTTATAGACAAAGTGAAAGCGCTATTAGAACAAGAGCTGGCATCACAGACTGGTTCCCAGTAACATCAGGAGTAAGACAAGGTTGTGTATTATCACCTTTACTTTTCATAATATTTATGGACAATATTAATAAAATAGACATAACACCAACAGATGTCGATAAACAGGAGTACTTCAATGAGCTGCTTTTTTCCGACGATCAATGCATATTTCACAGTTATAGTAAACAGCTGCAAAACCACATAAACCTACTACACGACAGTTGCCTCAAGCATCATATGAAGATCAATACTGAAAAGACAGAAGTCATGAGCATAAGTAGAGAGCAACAGACCATCGACATAAAGATTCTAGATCACAGCCTAAAACAAGTGCAAGAATTTAAATACTTAGGAAGTATCTTTACATCCAATGGTAAAATAGACAGAGAGATCGAAGCAAGAATCCAACAAGCCAACAATGTCGCATACCAGCTTGCCCCAATTTTAAAACACCCTGCTGTCCCAGCTGAGATAAAAAGACAAATTATAAATACAATCTTTATACCGACATTAGGCTATCAATGTCAGACTTGGACATTAACAAAAGAACACGAGAGAAGACTAACCACCTGTGAAATGAGATGTTTGAGAATGGCTGCGAATAAAACCAGAAGAGATAGAGTGAGAAACGATGTGATTACAAGAACTATTGGAACCATACCCATCATTAAATTTATTGAGAAGCAAAGAATAAAATGGTTTGGTCACCTAATGAGAATGTAACCAACGATGCCAGCATCAAGAGCATACAACATGAAAATCGAAACACCAAGAGGCAGGGAAAGACCAAGAAGAAGATGGATTGAAGGAGTCACGGACAACTTGAGACTTCATAACATCACGGCATATGAAGCGACTGAGCGCGCCCTGGCTCGGTTGCCGATCATCTGATAGACTGCGACGCCTAGTGGCACAAGCAGATTTTGACAAAAGAAGAAGTTAATCCCGGTAATGCTTGAGAATCGGATCAAGAACATAACATGGATTTTCTGCCAACAACATATTCGTGTACAGGGGTATTGAACAGGCTGATAAATTAACTGCTGCTGCTTCTCTGAAACTCTTTGATTATATCATGTTAGCATAGATTACATGCCCTCATAAACTATAAAAGTATTTTAGAAATGTCGCACATTTCGTCTAGATTTATTAACTATTAGTACGGTTTAGAAATGCCAGTGCTTGTACTTAATATTTAGCTGCTGTTGATAATGTTTACTATTACTTGATGTATGAGTGAAATGATGAATGAAATGAGGGAAACTAGAAGGACAGAATGTTAAACGGGCCTACTTAACCCTTTGAAATGGGGGAGACTTGAACCACTACCCCTTAACAAACATGTTGCAAAAAAAAAAAAAAAGACGACAATTGGAGTTTTGCTGAAATCAGATATGTTGGGCCAAAAGGAAAAGATATTGCAGTCACAAAACAACACATAGACTGCTTTTTTTAAGGACAGATTTAAAAAAAGGAAACATATCATGTATTTTAGATGAAGTTAGAAACATTTAAACAGAGTTAACTTAGTTGTATGTTTTATGACTAGAGTGAATGGGGAGCACAAAAGACAGACAACTGTTTTATTTCATTTGATAAATTTGCTCAGAGTTACTTTTCTTGTTGCCAGGGAAGAAACGGTTGCACAGCTGCTGTCTCGAATGTTTGATTCAGACAAGAACGAGTCTGTCCTTGTAAATGGGCTGTGTGTTATACACACACTTCTGGAAGTCCAGCGACAGGCGTAAGAATTGACTAGTTTGTGTTTGTTGTAACTGGAATATTGTATTTTTTATGGCACCCTCTAAGTCCACCTCTTTAATCGAAGTTTAAACACATGTAGCTGAGAATTTTGACTTCCATGGCTATGTGACCTAGTGTAGTACAAAATCTGGTTATTGTATTAAATTCATCGTCATCCTGTGTGGATTCCAGGGTTCCATTTTAGGGTGAAAATGGATCAACGGCTCCTTAACAAGTGTCTCATAAAGGCAGCTATCGTATTTTTCTGTGAATAAGACGATGTGTATTCCAAAATTTGTAGTTTATATTTGAGGGTCATCTTATACACAGTGTGCATTTAAAATATTTATTTCTGCATTCTGGCAACAGCAAAAAAAGGTAGGACTTGTCTTATAAGTGGGGGCAGTTTATGCTCAGAAAAATATGGTCGTTAAAGATTTGCTATCATTGGATGTATGGGTTGAAGGGCATTTCTGTCAGATGCCATCTCCACAGTACAGATTGGCTGCAGTGGATCTCTAACTCTGTTTCTCATCCTGATTGTACACTCTCTTAGATTATTGTCCATCCATCTCTTGATATTATCTTCCCACTTGTATCACTGTCTACCCACAGACTGCTATTCGTTCATCTCTTGATATTATCTTCCTACTTGTATCACTGTCTACCCACAGACTGCTGTCTGTCCATCTCTTGATATTATTTTCCCACTCGTATCACTGTCTGCCCACAGACTGCTGTCCATCCTTCTCTTAATATTATCTTCCCACTTCTGTCAGGTCTGCCCACTGACTGATGTCCATCCATTTCTTGATATTATCTTCCCACTTATATCACTGTCTGCCTCCTCTTAAATGATTTGAACTTTTCCCTCTTTTAATGACTCTCTTTTTGAATCATTGCATTTCGTCTGTTGATTGCTTTTTGTTGAATTATTACAGATGTTCTATTATTTATTACTTGTTGAATTATTAGTGTTATTCCATAATTTGTTTACTTTCTCGTTGAATCATTGCAGTTATCCCATGACTTTTTACTCTTTCGTTGAATGGTTGCAGTTATTTCATGATTATTTTTTTAACTTTATCGTTAAATCATTGCAGTTATTCATGATTTGTTACTCTCTCATTGAATCATTGCCATAATTCCATTGTTTATTATTCTCTCGTTGAATCTTTGCGGTTATTGCATGGTTTATTATTCTCTTGTTGAATCATTGCAGTCATTGCATGGTTTATTATTCTCTGGTTAAGTCACTGCAATTATTCCATGATTTATTACTCTCTTTTTGCATCACTGCAGTTTTTCCATGATTTTTTACTTTATTGTTGCATCATTGTAGTTATTCTATGATTTAGTACTCTCTCGTTGCATCACTGCAGTTTTTCTATGATTAATTGCTCTTTTGTTGAATCATTGTAGTTATTCCATGATTTTGTATTCTCTTTTTGCATCACTGCAGTTATTTCATGATTTTGTATTCTCTTATTGCATCATTCCAGTTATTCCATGATTTTGTATTCTCTTATTTCATCATTGCATTATTTCGTGATTTTGTATTCTCTTATTGTATCATTCCAATTATTCCATGATTTTTACTTTCTGTTTGAATCATTGCAGTTATTCCATGATTTATTACTCAGTCGTTGAATCGTTGCATTTATTCCATGATTTATTACTCACTCGTTGAATCATTACAATTCTGTGATTTATTACTCTCTTGTTATATCATTGAAGTTATTCCATGATTTATTGCTCTCACTGAAATATTGCCTTAATTCTATGATTGATGATTTGGTTGTGGAACATCACAGGACAGACCCATGTGAACAGTTACCTAATGGTGAGACTGACCACTACAGTGAAGGTATTAGCAATGTCATCGCTGCAATTATCCCCCGGCTCAAAGACTTCCATGACCTCTTGCTGAACCCTCCAAAGGTATGCTAGGAATTGTTGATTTGTTTGGGTGGATCTTTTCTGAAATGTAAAACCTGAATGTGTGAATTTAATTGGCAGTGGTTGTTGGGATTCTTCCAGTCCCAGGCAAGCATTCATTGACCTCTTTCTGCCTTAAAGATTTATTTCCTCAAATTTCCAGTGTGGATTCCATGGCCCCATTGGGGGGGGGGGGGGGGGGCTAGAAGAATAAAATCCATATTTATAGCTCTGCCTAAGAAACCAGGCACTATAAAATGTGAAGACCATCGCACAATAAGTCTTATGAGTCACATCACTAAGATTTTACTGAGAAGAATAATGAGAAGAAAAAGAAACAAAATTAAACCAGAAATCAGCGATGAACAATGTGGATTTGTAGAAGGAAAAGGTACAAACAATGCCATATAAATCCTAAGGACATTGTCAGAAAGAGCTATAGAAGTAAAGACTGATTTGTACATATGCTTCATAGACTATACAAAAGCATTTGACTGTGTGAAGCATGAAGAAGTAATCAACTGTTAGAAAAATTAAACATTGATGGGAAAGATCTACGAATAATAAAGAATATGTTTTGGCAGCAAACAGCAGCTATAAGAATTAACAACTGTTTAGGTACATTTCAAAGCATAAAGAGGGGCGTACGACAAGGATGTGGACTGTCACCTGATTTGTTTTCAATATACAGTGAATATATAATGAGAGCTTTAATTGGTATGCCAGGAATTGTGGTTGGTGGGCACAATATAAACAATTTACGTTATGCTGATGACACAGTCTTGATAGCAACAAGTCAGAAAGAACTACTGGAAATAATAGACATTGTGGTGTTAGAAAGTGGAAGAATGGGCCTCAGTTTGAATAATGGGAAGACAGAAGTAATGGTGGTATCAAAGAAACAAATTATTCCTAAGTGTGTAATAAAAGTTGATAGTGTTATTTTAGGACAAGTACAGAAATTTAATTATCTGGGCACATGGATAACATCAGATGGAAGATGCATAACTGAGATAAGAAATAGAATAGGACAGGCAAAAACTGCATTTTATAAAATGAAAAACATCTTGTGCAATATATCCTTGTCATTGAAAGTTAGAAAAAGAATTCTTGCTTGCTACATACATCCAGTTTTAACATATGGCTGTGAATTCTGGACAATCGGTAGGCAGGCCAAACAATTTCTGGAGGCCTCGGAGATGTGGTTTTACAGAAGAATGCTTAGAATACCTTGGACAGCCAAAAAGAGCAACCAAGAGGTTTTGAAAGAGGCGGGAGCCCGAAGACAACTTATCACAGACATCAGAAGGAGACAGTCATCATTTTTCGGCCATGTTATGAGAAGAGGGAAAATAGAACATGTTGTGACCACTGGAAAGATATGTGGAAGGAGAGATAGAGGAAGACAACGAGAGAAGATGCTTGACAGTCTTGTTGCATGGCATGGAGGTGTGTCGGCACACAAACTGATACATACTGCAGGAGATCGCAGATTATGGAGAGGCATGATCGCCCACGCCTGTCGGCAAGGCACCTGATGATGATGATGATGAGAGTCTTCCCCCCCTCCCATCCCAAAATGGGGCCCAGGAACCTACACTGGGCAGACCTGTATTTAGTTTCCAGCAATGACAGGATGAATATTTTCAGCTAGCACACAATTTGGGTTTACCCTACCTTCTTTGGTGGACCATTTCACAATTTTTTTTAGGAATTCTCAGAGAAGAAATGATAACAGTGGTAACTGATCACCTCACCTCATTATGCTGTGGCTTAGAATATGTGAACTAATCACACTTCACACCCAAATGAGAGTATATGCTGTAGGGTGAATTTGACCTTGGATAGCTCTTGATTGGATTTTAAACATGGAAAATGAGTTTATGTTTTGCTTTAGATGGGCTCTTGAGTTCAGTTAAAATAAAAACATGAATCTTTAACTTTGTATATAAACTTTAGGTGACAAACATCATTTTTGTGTTATACAGGAAGTATTCCCACTTTATGTAGACAGAATAAAATTTAACCTTTCGCCCCATAGAGTAGCAAACTTGGCACTTTGGTAGGGTCCAGTTCCCCCTTAAGACACTTAACAGGCATTTCTGCACTAACATATTTATGAGATGACTAGTCCACACAGGTGGTTGTGTTCGCAGCTGCGCAGCGTTTAGGTCAGGATATGAATATATTTTCTAAAACAAAAAGTATTGTGGGAGGTGTTCCTTATGAACAAATGGCTTTTTAAAAGCAAATTGACATCAAATTTTCCCTTTGCCTCAGTGATAGAACTTAGGGTCATGGCATGAGTCAACTGATTCATATATTTTTAAGGCTGCAGGGCAATGAATTCCATTTATTGTGTCACTCTGTCCCTGTTTATTGATTACTCTCTTTATCTGTTTATCTATATTTCAACAACTTAAAAAAATTGTTGAAACGTAGATACAATTAGTTTTAAAATAATTTGTTAGTGACATATGTAAAGTGGATTTTTTGTTTTTCGGGAATTCTCAGTCTCATGGCTTATTTTATTTACTGCTTGCATTGTGAAAAGGTTACACACTCCGCGCATCATCATTGTTGTGAATTATATGGGATGAAACCCCCATATAATTATGCCCCCCCATATTTATTCCAGTGGCATTTGTATTTTTGAAGTGTTTTAGATAACCCTTTGTTAAAAATAAAAAGTATGCAGTAAAACAGATTACTTTGATCCGATGTTGTCAGCAACGGTACTACAGAATGCCCACAACAGTCTGCTGCCTGGAGCCTCCGCTGGGAAACACGAGGTTGCAGGTGGCCAAGCTGATCACAACCCTGGTTGGTGTAAATATGCATCAAGTCAACACAGAGCTGGCCTCTTTGGGAACAGTTCAAACCTTATTGGTGAGTGCATCCATCATCTTGACCATCCTCGTTTAGCAGGTCCTGTTGTAGGAAGTTGCTGCTGTACTGTCCGACTGAAAACCCTTCATACGTATCTAAAGAGTGGCTGGTAACATGTAACAGGGTTCGTAGCCGTCCTCAAAAACCTTGACAATTTCAGGAAATGCAAGATCCCTCGCTAGGTGTGGAAAAAACTTCGGATTTTTATGAGAACTGACAAATATCCTTGAACGTTACCCTCCAGTCCTTGAACTTAGCATATCGTAACCCGGACACAAATAACAAAAGGAGAATTTGTGTGCAGTCGGTCTTTTTGCCTTGTAAGAAGGCAAGCGTAATGCACTTCACTATGCAATTCACGGTCTCATTGTTTGCTTTGCGGGGTAGAGTATGGACGATGCCAAGGGAGCTCTCTTCACCTGTCTCGTTTCTAGTCTCCTTTCCCTTTTCCCTCTCTCTCCACCTTCACTTGGTGTAGCAGGGTCAGCTGGTACCCAATGTAAAAGATACCCCCTTCCCCCACATTCATACACATTAAATATATATATATATATAATGTATAATGTAAAAAAAAAAACACTTGCCATACGCACCCCCTCCCCCCTTCTAGTGATGACTCCTGGTGTGACCACACCCACCAGTGATGACACCTGGGGTGCCCCCCCCTCTCCCAGTGAGGACGCTTGGTGTGGCCACACCTACTAGTGATGACACCCGGGGTGCCCCTCTCCCCCCAGTGATAACACCCAGGGTCCCCCCCCCCCCCAGTGATGACGCATGGTGTGGCCACACCCACCAGTGATGACACCCGGAGTGCTCCCCCTCACCTCCCAGTAATGACATCCAGGTTGGTTGTCCTCTTCTACCTTCTCCCCCCTGTATCTCTCCTTTCTTTCTGTCTCAGTGCCATTCCTTTCTTACTCTCTTTTTTTTCTTTTTCTCGGCCTCCCCCTCTAATGGTAGAATCAAAAATGAAACAGGAGTCCACTGGTACATGACATACTATCCTGGCAGGATGACCTATTTTCATATAGGTTTGGGGATCAGGCACTGCTTATTTTGCATTGGGAAAAGGTTGGGAGCTCTGGGGAAGATGACCTTGACTCCAACATCCACCCAGCCTTGAGTGTAAGAAATGGAACACACAATTGTAGCCACGATCTGACAGTCAAGCATCAGTCGAGAGTGGGTCAGTGGTTGTTTCTGGACCACAACCATATTCATACTGGGAACAAACGAATAGACTTTATTTTAAAAGGGTCACAAATTTGGCAAGCCCGTCCATCTTACATTCAGCCCTTCCAAACGCCTATCTTTCACACAGCAGATGTATTTTTGGTAGAGTGTGGGAGCTCGGAAAAGTGACGTCACTTAGATTTCCCAGTTCTATTTGTTGCTGTTCAGCGTTTCATCCCAGGGCAACAGTCAGAACATCTTGGAGTTCTGTTGCAGCCAACCTTTTTGGGGAGACAGCACCTGATTGATTTACGATTTTTGTATAAACACGTTGGATCCTCGACAGCATTGTGAAACTCTTTCACAGTGGCGATATTCTCAATATGTGATAGGCAGGTGATGTTAAAACACTTCAGGCTAGTGGCAACAACCTATTACCCAAAATATAAGAAAGATATGTAATAATGTAATGTATTTCATTACAATGGAAAATTTATATTAACCACGTGTTATCTCTTTCAGGATTTATTTTTCAAATATGAGTGGAATAATTTTTTACACACACAAGTAGAGCAGTGCCTTCTTATCATTTTAAATAACAGACCAGTGGAGATAGACAGCACAAAGCTGCATCCTTTATTGTCTCAGGTAAGGTTTGTTTCTGTTGTGGTGTATTCTCGAATCAGTGGCATGTACTAGGTCTGGTTGCCTACACAGACATTTTGAAGAAAATTAATTAAAAGACTAACAGATGGAATGGTTTGGTCATCTGACGAGAATGCCCTGGCATCAGCCGCGTCAGAGCGCCACAATGAAGAAATATAATGAACACAGAGCAAGAGAAAGACCTTGCAAAAGATTAAATGGCGGGCATCACAAACATCCTTAAAGAAATAAAGATAAACTTATACAACACGTTAGAAGAAGCTCACAGAAGATTCTGACTTCTGCCCCTCACACTTTGATTACTTAGCTGGAAGAAGAAAAGAACAAGAAATGTTGAAACAATTTTGTGGCTGGGAGAAATACAGTTACTCACCTGGGGGTCTGAAACCTAAATTCTCTTCCAACTTGTCATCTTTTGGCTTGCTTCTCTCAACACAAAAATTTTGAAGTGTGTCATCTTTTGGCTTGCTTCTCTCAACACAAAAATTTTGAAGTGTTCAGGAAGACCACACTTGGAAAGAAGGACACACAGGGAATAATTTCACAAACTAAAGGAATGTTGTTTGGCGCAGAAAATCTTAAGAGACGGGTGTTCAAAGATTGCTAATGAAGGCATTTAAAAAAAAAATTTGCAGGGGAAGTTAAAGACATGTAGGTAAGAGGTATACAGCAATAAAAGTGTAGCAAAAACATGAAGGGATGGAGTAAAAGTATTCTGTCAGTATATGGAGTAAAAGTATTCTGTCAGTATATAAATAGGGCAAGAAACAGATGTTGGGGATTTATTGTAGACATCTTTGATTGTGGAGATGGCACTTGATGGATTGATTGATTGATTGATCAGTGTCGTATGATTTCTTTGTCCTCAATGATTTACACACCTCCTTATTGACCATTGTTTATTTTACAGATATTTGCTGAATATAGTTTTGTACAGCGGCTGCTTGTAGAGTGGGAGTTGAACCAACAGCGACAGTAAGTGTTACATTTATCATCATCATCCTCATTGTCATCATTGTGATGTGCCATTTATATGTCAAAAGGGCTCAGTCTATTTCCCCCCCCCCACCCCATTGTATTGTATTCAGTGCAGTCTCTTTGATATGTATAGTATTTACTGTTTGTATAAAATAAGTGATGGTTGAAATTATACAGGTTGGAGACTTTCAGGGGAAAACTAAGGAGGTCATGAATATAAATGGTTACGCCACATCAGTGTGAATGTGAGTGTTATAGCGGTTAGCTGGGGAGACTGTTGATGTACATCACCCATATGTGAACGTGTATTATGTGTACATGACATTGAGATTATTAGCTACAGATTTACGGATGTTCAGGATCATTGGGCACCATATCTTATAGGGCAGTGATCTTGGATATGTGACTATCTCACAGTAATTACTAAAGAAAATAAAAGCCTGTAAACTGAAATGCAATACAAAAAATTTCAGAGTACCAGGGAACAACAACAACCCCCCCCCCTCCCCCCCAAAATACCCAAAAAAAATACTGACAACATAAAAGATCTGAAAATCAACAAAAGATTGGCTAGTAATCAGCAGTCTCATAAGCTGATTTAATTTGGCCATATCAGGCTTCTCAGCAGATTGGAAAGAATAGTAGCCGAAGGCATGGAGTAGAGAAGAGGGAATGAAACAAATGACGTAATTAGTGTGTGTTGTCGATAGACAGCGTGAGCGATAGACAGCGTGCAGTGCACTGCTGTCATCATAGGGTTGGGTGCAGTGCACTGCTGTCGGTCTGCCAGCCATGTCGACCTCACTTTGTTGTGTGATTCGGTCCTTCTCCATTCCGTAATTGCAATGCGGCCAGGGGACTGAACTCCGGCGTACTCCCCCAATATGTGTCCTTAGTTGCAAGGAGAACCTTAACTATGGTACCTGTTTAAAGCTGGGTTGAATTTTTAAAAAAATTAAAAATTAATGGGTAAAGTCGAGAGGATTAGCTTTAATGCACCAGGTTTTATCCCAAATGGCTGGGTAACCTCCTCAGAGCGGCCAGCTGCCTGCCGAGAGCATCACAGAAAAAACAAACTATTTAGCTACGCCGACGATCTCCAGGGATGTCCGTAAAAATTGCATTTGTGAACTAAACCGCGCAGCAGTGAAATAAACCCATGTCCTTTAGAAGGCTAGGGGCACTTAGCTTTAACAAATGGTGATAATGATCTGGTGTGTATAGAGTGATATGTTTTAAATTATGAATTTGTTTGTGTGTGTGTGTGTATATAAATATATATATATATATATATATATATATTTGTGTGTGTGTGTTGTTAATTTAAGTTGATTTCTTCCAAAGGAAAATTGAACATAGCAGACGAAGTGGGTTTATGGGTCATCTAACAAAGATAGCCAACACAGTTGCTGGGCTTGTAGAGAAAAATGACACAGGAAGTTTTGTGAAGGATCTGTTCAATGGTAAATATCGTTCTTCACATGTTGGTGTGATTGTCATGAGCAGTGTGATAACGTTGATACATTGGATGCTGCTGCCACTGCATCAGAGGAATCGGCCAGTTGATTAAGTTGATGATGTGAATGTCCTTTATAGTTGAGCTGAAAGAAAGAAACAAGGAATTTCAGCTGGCTGAATCAGCATCAATAGTTAGGGTGTAAATGTAAGGGCTTATTGATTTACATCAGTTTGGTGTAGTTGCTGTCTAGGCACCTTCTCATTTTTCCAGACCATAGTGTTATATTTTACTTTATAGAGGCATAGTAACACAGCCTTGACTGTAGTGTCCTGAGTTGTTGACTGTTAGGTCCTAAGATGTTAACTGTTAAGTCCTGAGATGTTGACTGTTGGGTCCTGAGATGTTGATGTTGTGTCCTGAGATCTTGACTGTTGTGTCCAGGGATACTGACTGTTGTGCCCTGAGATATTGACTGATGTGTCCAGGGATACTGACTGTTGTGTCCTGAGAGAATTATTGACTGTTGTGTCCTGAGATATTGACTGCTGTGGCTGAGGTGTTGACTCTTGTGTCTGAGGTGTCTGGAAATATTATCTGTTGTCTGGAGATATTGACTGTTGTGTCCCAGAAATATTATAAACTTGTGTCTGGAGATATTGTCTGTTGTTTATGGAGATATGACCGTTGTATGCTGAGAAATTGACTGTTGTGTCCTGAGATATTATTATGTCCTGAGCTGTCGACTGCCCTGTCCTATGGTGTCCTGAGATATTGACTGTTGGTCTTAAGAGATTGACTGTTGTGTCTTGAGATATTGACTGTTTGTGTCTCCGCCTGTGGTGGTACTCTACAGGGCTTTCACAAGATGTCAAGGACCGGTGGGAGGCTTTTGTTGCTGGGTCTTTGGCTGAAGTCAATAAGAAAAATGCAATAGAGTTGGTAAGTAATGTTTGTACTGAGTAATAGCCAGTATTGGAATAGTAACAGCTTATTGTCTTGCATGATAGTGTTGATGTAAGCTGTATAAACAGAAGGTGGTAATTGTGAACTGAGTTGGGAAGTTAAGCTTAAGAAAATCAAGATGTTTAGGACATCTTTGCAGGAGAATCAGCAATGGCTGATGAATTTGATGGAAAAGGTACACAGGGAAGACAAAGAGCCACATAGCATAATCAAGGAAAGAACAAAATACTGAGCTGAGATTAGTTGTCGTACGAGGTGATGAACAATGATTGCCTATGTTTATCACCATGGCACCTGATTAAAGAGGGTGATGATGTTCAGACAGATGATACATAGATACACTTTAACAGAAAATGGTTTCTTGATACTGTGTCAGAAGATATGTGGTTGTTAAAAACAAAAATGCTAGATAACTAGTAGTATGTATGTATATGTATATCTTACATAACATTTGTCTGTCTCCCGGATTGTCACGGATGCACTTAGGGGCAGTGACTAAAGATATGTCAGCTGTGGAGACCAAGATAAAATAGAAGACAGGAGTTTAAATATAGGGTTTTAGTTAGACCTGTATTTCCACTAGGCCTATATGTAAGGCAGCGGTGGAGACCAAGATGAAGCAGAGGACGAGAGAATAAGGCTTTCTTTCACTATCTCAGGTGAAGCTAGGCAGTTAAATCTAATATATGTATCCTATCCCGATATATGGAAGCGAATCATTGGGAGTTGACCAGTTAGTGTTAAATTTTGTGGAAATGGCAGAGATGGTTTTGTAGTTGAATGACGAGAATACCTTGGGACAGATAACAAGAGTTTAGCATCAAGGTATGGAAGATCGTTTGTTCGGAGTAGATTAAAAGTGTAAGAAACATAAGGTTGTGGATAGACTTGACTATCAATGCCACACAGCATCAGCTAAGCGAAGAAAAGGTAGCAACAGTCAAGACAGATACAATTTTAAAAGCTTAGTAAATGTTGCCAGTCGTTAATTCTTGTGTATGCTGTGAGGTAGCCATCCCTCGGTTGTCCTGTGATAGATGTACTCATTTTTGCTAGAACAGCCTGCAGACAAGCATCTCTAATCTATTACAATGTTCTCAGATGCGGGGTCGCACGCTGGCATCCAGTAGTGAAGACGATGACACTGATTTCAAAGACATTCCTTTTCCACAGGATTCTGCCATGCAGCAGGTGAGAGACACATGGGTAGGAGTGTAAGGAATGTGTGTGAGAGAGAGAGAGACGAAGAGACTTAATTGTCATTTACCATCGGTCATCACCATGGATGATCATGCATCTCCACTTCCTACAGTCTTTATCACAGTCTGTCATATTATGCCATGATGAAATGCTTTCAGGAATCTTCTCTCATGGTCTTCCTTAGTCTCTTTCTATAAATCTTTCCAATTGTTAACAACAGGTTCCATTTTCTCAGTGTTCAGATAACCTGAATGTCAAAACAGTGGGTGGGTCTAAGAGCTAGAACTGATGTTTTCCGGAGGCCAGTCATCCATCCAACCAGCTAACCAGTCAACCAACCACCATCCATCCATCAGACCAACCAGTTGACCATCCATCTAGCCAATCATCAAACCATTAATACAACTGTCCATCCATCCAATCACCCAATTGACCAACTAACCATGTTGGACCAAAGGGCAAAAGCTCATGCTCCGCTGGATCGATAACAACAACAACAACCAACTAACCAATCATAAGTCCATCCTTTCAACCAACCAACAAAGCATGTAATGGTAATTTGCATAACACTAAGATCTTTAATGTTACAAAAAATCCCATTATGCCTTATATCATTATTCCTCTCTGTGGCAATCATTGCTGTCTTCCTAGGCCTTCTCTGATTACCAGCTGCAGCAGATGACTAGTAACTTTATTGACCAGTTTGGCTTCAGCGATGAGGACTTTGCTGAACAGGATGAGAAAATTGAGTGAGTATCACTAGCTTCTTGTTCCTCCCATCTTGTATAAGTTTGATGGTTTACCAAAACATTGTTACCATATCAACTGTCTGAGTCTTGAGGTTTTTCTAAAAATAAGCAAAGGATCTTTTTTGTGTGCCTTAGCAACTTAAGTATATGATGTTAAACTCGTGAAGTTTTTTTTTACAGACCAGTTGGCACTCGGTGGGTGATGTGGTCAGCCAACCATCTTCACTTCCCAGGATCATGCCAACCATCTTCACTTCCCAGGATCATGCCAACCATCTTCACTTCCCAGGATCATGCCAACCATCTTCACTTCCCAGGATCATGCCAACCATCTTCACTTCCCAGGATCATGCCAACCATCTTTACTTCCCAGGATCATGCCAACCATCTTCACTTCCCAGGATCATGCCACCCATTTTTACTTCCCAGGATCATGCCAACCATCTTCACTTCCCAGGATCATGCCAAACATCTTTACTTCCCAGGATCATGCCAACCATCTTTACTTCCCAGGATCATGCCAACCATCTTTACTTCCCTGGATCATTCCAACCATCTTTACTTCCCTGGATCATGCCAGCCATCTTTACTTCCCAGAACATTATCAGGTACCCATTTTTAGGATGGGCTAACCTGGGAGCTAAGGTCAATTTCGGAGATGGAAAAAATCATATGATTTTTATTCGAATTCAGACCTTGCAGCTCTCGTATGGCCAAGATTCTTCTTCCTCCTACACCTTTTCTGTTGCTTTCCTCTATTTCTTTTGCTCTTTTTCTGCTTCTTCCCCTACCTCCTCCTGTTCTGCTTTATTTATAAACTGTTTAACTCTCCATATGTGTTTATAAAATGTTTCCCTCTCCATCCTCAGAACTGTATTTTCCAACAGGATATCAAATATAAATGCAGATATTCAAGCACATGGCATTAATGTGAGTCATAATAGGTTAACTTGAGTAGATTCACATGTATAGCTGCACATTAATCTTCTTCTACTTCGGGTTCATCAGCTGTAAACTCTGGTGGAAAGTTCTGGTTGTTCATCCACTTCTGGACCGCAGTCCTATTCCAGAACCTGAATGTTGCACGTGCATCTGTTTTACAGATCTGACTCATTTGTATGCAGACTGCTGGTTCCTTGCCTCTCAGGCAGATGCACTCCGACTTTGAAGGAAGCTCCCAGTTAACCAACTTTTACGACATGCTTTTGGGTAGGCAGTGGGTCTGTTCTTGTTTTCCCTATAACAGGGCCTCGGAACCCACACGGGGATGCACATTAATTTAATTTCACTATAAGTTGATGTTTGTAGCTATACATTAGTCTTACTATACAATAATGTAATGACTACATTAGTGCGACTACTGTTCATTATGTGAGTGAATATATATTAATGTGATAAAATGTATGTGGCTTTGCAAATGCATCTCATAAACTGATGACCCTCAAAGAATATGACTTCAATTCATTGAGTGGAAGTTTTTTTTGTTTATTGAAAAAAAAAATCAATTTTGGTGGCATTTGGACAATGGTATAAGAGTTGCATCATGGAAGAGATTAAGGCCTCAACTTGTTTATAATTCAAAAATCGGCAGTGAGCGCACAGCAGCCAGCATTTATTGTGTAGGTGTAAATTAATGTTATAGTTAGTTCATGTATTTATTTCCTAATGTTTGAGCCTTGTTTACCAGAGTAAATGTAAAGTAAAGGTTCCTTTTCCAAGTCTTTAGGCGCATTGGAAATATAACGCTAGAACTATAATTTTATAGACCAATCGGCACTTGGTGGGTGATGTGGTCAGCGCCACGCCGGCTGCCTTTACTTCCTAGGACTGCACCTGGTACCCACTCAAGGCTGGTTCGACCTAAGAGTCAAGGTCATTTAAAAAAAAAAAAAGTCAAGCTCCGTCAGGATGCGACCCACAACCTTCTGATCTACAGGTGGGCGACTAGCCGGCAACGCCATGACGACTTCATGTTTACCAGGGTAGATATACAAATCCTAGCATGCGGTTCCTTGGGTATGGAGTCTTTATGCCTAGTACACAAGCCACACACCTTCTGCAGACACCAGCAGTGATACATTTGTGGCAGTCTTAGTGTGATAGTCAGAGGTCAATATTTTCCCACACTTTGATCCAACATGGGTATTAGTACTAGTCTCATATTTTTATAGGCAGATCAGCATTTGATGGGTCCTCTTCGCTTTCACCATTAGGCTTCATGGGAAGGAATTGTTTGAAGTTTGTTGCTCAGTGGGTGATGTCAAAATCACATCAAGCACATTTACTTCTTGGAACATTTCCTGGTACCCAGCTAGGGTTAAGTCCAGTCAACTTTTAAAAACAATCCTTGTCTCAGTGGGAGGTTCGAACTCATGATCACCAGGACACAGTAATTCTTCATCCTCTTCTTGTCTTCTTCTTCTTCTTCTCCTTCCCCCTCCTTTTCTTCTCATCCTCCTCCCCCTATTCCTTTTCTTCTCCTCATTTCCTCCACCTCCTGTTCTTCTTCCTTCTTCCACCGCTTCTTTTTTTCTCTTCTGTCTTCACCTTTTACAAGAATATTTGGCGTGTTCTATTGTGGTTTACAGCTAGGCTGCAATATCTGGTTCTTTCAGCCGAACACATCCGATTTCAACGTAACTGTAGTCACATTTTACAGGATACTTGCTGGTAGTGAGGTGAGAAAGGGGGGGGGGGGCTGTGGGTCTTCTTTCTTAACCTAAAATAGAGCCCTAGAACCCACATAGTGATGTCAAGCAGTGTGATGATAGTGGCTTTAAGCAGCATTGATTCTTTATGTGAAACAGCAAAGCACGACCCTGTTTGAGCAGGTGTGCAGTGAGCGGATCCAGCAGTTTGATGACAACGACAGCGATGAAGACATCTGGGAGGAGAAGGCTATCACTTTTGACAAGGCTGCCGGCCAAGCTCATTTAGAGTAAGTTCTTGTAGAAACTCTGTTGTTGGTATTTCAGTATAGTTTGTGTCAGCACCTTCTTCGTCTTCTACATCATGGTTGTCATCATAATCCTTTTCTGTTTGTCATATCATATTCTGCATCTTGATTGTCATTGTCATCATCTTATACGTCTTCATTATTATCATCATCAGCCTGTTATGATCATCATCATCTTACCATCATCTTCATCTTCTACATCTTGAATACAATATCTACATCATCTTTAATATCATCATTTTCTACATCATCATCATTATCCTCTTATGGCTGTCATAATTTTCTTCAGTTTCATCATCATCACCACCATCTTTATAATTATCTTCCTGATCTTATTTATCCCTATCTTTTACAGCAGGAGAGCTTGTTGGTGAATGTGTTATTGCTTTGTACAGTCTCAGTCTGCTGCCTGCACAGAATAGAAGCAATCAAATGATTCTGTGAAATCACTAGAGTAAAGCTTGGGAGGGAGAACTAAGTAAAGTTCAGCGAATCAAGAGACAGGAAAAATGTGCTGGCCCTAGTTAGGACCTGCTTAGGGAAAATCTGATAATAGTGTAACTAGAATATCATTTTACTGACTGAACAGAAGAAATAGAGAAAGATCTGGCAATACAAAGTAGAGAATCAGAGATAGGAATGTGCTGAAGCAAAAAAGAGCAGGAGGTGGCAAAGACAGGAGATCCTAATGGGAATTACTTCAGGGTCTTTGCTTCTTCTTCTTCTTCTGCCTTTCTATCCCCCAATGGAGCATAGGCCCTCAACCAACTCACGCCAAGTCGTTCTATCCTTAGCCATTGCATGGAGCTCTCCCCATGTCCTCCCAATCTTTCTAACCTCATTCTCCAGCTCTCTTCTATGTGTTTTTTGGCCTTCCTTTATTCCTATGCCCCTGTGGGTTCCAATGCAAAGACATTCTAGTAATGCTGTTCTCCTGTTTTCTCAGTGTGTGCCCTATCCAACGCCAGCGTCTTTTTCTCACTTCCTGATCCACTGGAGCCTGTTTAGTTCTCTCCCAAAGTTCTACATTAGTTATTCTATCATACCATTTTATTCCCTCTATTCTGTGCAGGCACCAGTTAATGAATGTCTGTAATTTATTAGTAATTGCCTTGGTTGTTCTCCATGTTTCCGCCCCATACAATAGTACTGATTTGACATTAGAATTAAAAATTTTTAGTTTAGTATTTCTTTTAATTTCTTTTGACCTCCACAAATTCCCTAGTGCTATGAAAGCCCCTCTTGCCTTTTATATTCTTATTTTAATATCTCTATCAGTTCCTCCATCTTTATCTACATTACTGCCTAAATAGGTGTACGACTCCTTGGAGTGGGGTGCCATTAAGAGAAACCACATTACTATTTTCCTGATTTATTCTCATTATCTTTGTCTTTCCTTTATGGATTTTCAGACCAAGCTGCTGTGATCTCGCATTAAGTATATTTAATTTATCTTGCATCTGATTCCGTGAATGGGACAGAAGAGCAATATCATCAGCGAAGTCCAGATCATCAAGCTTTGCTTCTTATTTTTATTTAAATATTAGCCGTTTGCCTCACACACTGAAAGGTCTCAGGCTCATTTCACGCACCAAAAAGTTGCACGTTCATTTCACTGCCATTTCCCTATTTCATGGAGGCAGTTGTTAGGGAGGCAGCTGGAGATTGCCACTGGGGCTAAAGAGTTCATGCTTTATGTGATGTTCCTAGCAAGCAGCTGGCCATTTTGCAAAGGGAGACTGAACCAAAAAGAATAAAATTTGGTGCAGTGAAATTGTCTTTCTTGGCTTATAACTTCATTTAACTGTATGATGTGTCAGCCCATATATTCCCGGGGCTCATGAGGCAAGCAAAGAGAAATAACACTGTTACCTACCATGCATGACGTAAGAGGCAACTTAAAATGGTTGGCCACCTCATCCTGTAGAAAACAGATGCAAAATCCAGCATTAACAAGTCTACAGAGAGCATGGCATGAGTTTGTTATGGACCTGTGCTTCCTTGTAAGCTGAAAGGGCTAGAGAAAAAAAAAATGTACGACAAACCATGCCTAAAGAGTATTTTTGTGGCTGCATGCAAGTTTTCCTTACTAATTGTTGTCTTTATTTCAAGAAGATTAAGGGCTGCAGCATCTCGGTGTAACAACAGCGATGAAGACAGCACAGACAGCGGGGAAGAGCTGGACTCTCCTGTCAGAACTGTGCAGCCACCAACAGAGGGCATGGATGTGGATCACAACGAAGGTCAGTGGATGCTGCTGTTGTATTGAATGAAATCAAGTACCTGTTTCAACGCTGTAAGAGATGTATTGAGCATACGCTAAGTAAAAAAGTAAAGGACCCTGTTCAGGCCAGTGGCTCAACAGGTAAATGATGCTAAACTCCTATTTTTATAGACCTATCGACGCTTGATGGGTGATGTGATCAGCCTCACTCCAGTCACCTTTACTTCCCATGTCATTACCTGGTACAATCTTTAGACGCGGTCGTCCTGGGAACCAAAGTCAGTTAAAAAAAAAAAATTTGCCATTATGTTTAGCCACTACACCATTGTGGCTCCTTTAACATTCGGTTGTGGCCCCATATTTAATATTGGAAATCAGCAGGTGGTATAATAAGTAATACATTGATAGTTTTTTAAAATTTTTTTATTTCCTCAATATTTCCTGGTATTCTTGTTGAGGATGGGTCAGTCAGTCTAGGAACCCAAATGATATTTATGAAGTTTTGAACCTGTGACCACCGGATCAGCAGGTAATTCTGCTAGCCACTACATCAGCACAGTCCCATTGTTGTAAACGAATCAACAAATGACAGTAGAGAGTTTGAGCTTTACAGGTTCACCCCTCTTGGAATGGGCAGTGTGGCAAGATAGTATTTTAAACAGTTATTTGCAGGACCATTTTCAGGTCGGTGTTGGTGGTTTAGGCGACAGGAACATGCTTCATATTGCCGGGGTGCCGGGTTTGATCCCAGCTGCAGACGGTTTGTCTTGTGTTGGTTTCGACAGTGGTACCAAGAACTGACCATTGAGAAAGCAGAGACAAACTACTGAATGTAAAATTTGATCCCAGCGCAGACATTTGTCTTGTGTTGGTTTTGACAGTGGTACCAAGAACTGACCGTTCAGAAATCAGTGGCAAACTACTGAAGGTAAAATTTGCCTAGACAAACCACAGCAGTAAAAAAAATGCTGGGTTTGGTTCTGCAGCGTCCTGTAAATGATACACAACTAACTTTCAAGTTATTGCAAACCAACCTCAGCATTTATTTACTGTTTTGTGGTTTCATTGAGCAAGTTTGTATTTAGTAGTTTGTCAATACCCCCTGAATGGTCAATGCTCAGTTCATTGTTGAAATCATAACATAGTGCATTGAAACAAAAAAATCAATGGTAAAAGTGGCAGAGGTTGATGGAAGAAAAGTGATGATGGATGTTCAAAGATGGCATGTAAAATTATCATGAGTAGGAACAGGTCTATAACACCAAGTACTTAGATCTTTGAAGAGAGACATAAATGTCTGCCGTCTGGCAAGGTGCATGATGATGGTGGATAATATGAACCATTTGGCTGCGAGCATGTACCTCCAAATATTGGCAGCACTTTACTCAATGGAAGAAGAGTACTTTAATGCACAGCAGGCTTGGCAGTACCTGAGAATGTACTTCGTATGTTGTTAGGTTACAGGCTATCCTTAACCCTTTTGGCCCATGAATATTTTAAGAAAAAAATGGCCATAAACCAATGAGTTTTACTGAAATATCCTTAAAAAAACTAAAAATTTACTATTTTACACAAGCAACTAATAAATTATTTAAAAAAAAAAAAAACTTTCGCAGTGGGTCCTAAAAAGCAGTCTCACTGCGGAAAAGTAATGCTGCTGTCCTTGTTGCTCGTCAACGCTGACAGCGGAAGTAAATTCATGTCCTACTTGAAGTCCGAGAAATCTAGAATATACACAATGACGTCGGCGCTCGCAGCAACCAGCACAATATAGAAGGCTCAGAGTATCAAACACAAGAAAATGTGCATACCCCTGTAACTTTGACATGTGCATGTGAAAGGTCACCAGGCATGAATGAACTGCCAATCAAGATTTGTTTGTGGCGAAAAGCATTACTAGTTCTATTGTTGAAGTAAGTAACGGAAATAATCAGTAACAGGATCACAGTGATACATAAATGGCGATATATTAGCATTTACGGGTCTGTCACAACTGAAACTAAAGTTATAATAAGGTTAAAGGAGATAAAGTTAAGTCATTAGATTCAGTCCACATTGAACAACAAAGGGAACTATAGAAAATAAGACAGGAGACTATAGATTTTAAATATTGTTAGGAGCAGATGGCACAGCACAAATAAACAGTTTGAGAACATGCAATTTTCCTTTGGTAGATTGCAGATATGAATCATAGACCATCTTATAGTCTCTGTAGAGAAAGTGGAGACCTTCCAAAATAAATGGTTAAAGAAATGCTTAGAATGCCTAGTAGATGACAAGAGGGCTAAAAACATAAAAGGGGCGAACAAGATAAGGTCGGAACCGTTACTTTGTGTTAAAATGCTTTATGCAGTGATTACTTGTTTATATCTTGTGGCCTACAGATTCCAGTGCCCAGACAGAACCAGCAGCTATGGATACCACATCTCCATGGGATAAACCATTAGCAGCATCACCTGCCACTGCGCCACCCAAGGAGAGTTGGGCAGACTTTAACAGTGTTGCCAACAAGCCAGCCAATGGAGACAACTGGGCAGATTTCTCCTCTTTTACAGATTTTCCTTCGCTGTGAGTGTTCAGTCTCCACATGTTTCTGTGTTATTTTCCCTATGACTTGAATCAAGGCCAGCTTGTAAAAATCTGTTAAAGGCACAGAAAAACAGTCTTCATGATCAGATTATCCCTGTGTAGATTTATATATTTAGTGCAAAAGCAAAAGACTTCTTCCACAGTTCTTCTTACAGTCAAAGCCGTTAAAGCCTGAGAGATCCGCTAGTGTTGATCGGAAGACACTAGTAGATTAATCATCATCAGAATGATCTGGCCCGCAGACGCCCAGTAAGTGGCCCGTGGATCATTGCCAGTTGTATCGTAATAATGACCTTTCTGTATTGGGGTTTTGGATTCTGGCCTGTGGTGATCCCCCACTTTCAACATTTTGGACCCTGGGTAAACTTAGATCAATGGTCCTGCCCTAAGTCATTCTAAAAGACAACTGGAAACTTATCACTAGAAAGGTCATTATTTGGACTCTTTAACAAGCATGTTGTAAAAGTCGACAAATTAGGATAGTTTTTTTTTAAATCGAAGTGGAACTGCCAGTGAGGCAAGAAACAGAGTCTACATACAAATAAGCCAGGTCTGTAAAACAGTTGTGCAGGCAAAATTCAAAATTGGATGAACAACCAGAACTTTCTGCTGAAGTTTACAGCCGGTGAGTGCTAAGAAGTAGAAGGTCCAATCAAATCTATATTCCCACTGGCAGTTGATTTAGACAGGTTGCTTTATTTTTAGAGCCACTCAGGGACCAAGAAGTAGCTCGCCAGTAGAAATGGACACCACAGAGGATGTGAGGAAGAATCCATATGGTGAGTGAGTTTATGACTGATGTATTTACATAGTTCAGGAGTGGTATATGGTGAGTGAGTTTATGACTGATGTATTTACATAGTTCAGGAGTGGCATATGGTGAGTGAGTTTATGACTGATGTATTTACATAGTTCAGGAGTGGTATATGGTGAGTGAGTGAGACTGAGTATTTACATATAGTTCAGAGTGGTATATGTGAGTTTATGACTGATGTATTTACATAGTTCAGGAGTGGCATATGGTGAGTGAGTTTATGACTGATGTATTTACATAGTTCAGGAGTGGCATATGGTGAGTGAGTTTAGGATGTATTTACATAGTTCAGGAGTGGCATATGGTGAGTGAGTTTATGACTGATGTATTTATAGTTCAGGAGTGGTATATGGTGAGTGAGTTTATGACTGATGTATTTACATAGTTCAGGAGTGGTATATGGTGAGTGAGTTTATGACTGATGTATTTACATAGTTCAGGAGTGGCATATGGTGAGTGAGGACTGATGGTTCAGGAGTGGCATATGGTGAGTGAGTTTATGACTGATGTATTTACATAGTTCAGGAGTGGTATATGGTGAGTGAGTTTATGACTGATGTATTTACATAGTTCAGGAGTGGTATATGGTGAGTGAGTTTATGACTGATGTATTTACATAGTTCAGGAGTGGTATATGGTGAGTGAGTTTATGAGTTGTATTACATACTGTATATGTGAGTGAGTTTATGACTGATATTTCAGGAGTGGTATATGGTGAGTGTTTTATGACTGATGTATTTACATAGTTCAGGAGTGGTATATGGTGAGTGAGTTTATGACTGATGTATTTACATAGTTCAGGAGTGGCATATGGTGAGTGAGTTTATGACTGATGTATTTACATGAGTGGTTTGAGTTTATGACTGATGTATTTACATAGTTCAGGAGTGGCATATGGTGAGTGAGTTTATGACTGATGTATTTACATAGTTCAGGAGTGGTATATGGTGAGTGAGTTTATGACTGATGTATTTACATAGTTCAGGAGTGGTATATGGTGAGTGAGTTTATGACTGATGTATTTACATAGTTCAGGAGTGGTATATGGTGAGTGAGTTTATGACTGATGTATTTACATAGTTCAGGAGTGGCATATGGTGAGTGAGTTTATGACTGATGTATTTACATAGTTCAGGAGTGGTATATGTGAGTGAGTTTATGACTGATGTATTTACATAGTTCAGGAGTGGCATATTTAAGCAATTTGTGAGTGATGTATTTAAGCAATTTGCAAGTGACTTATTTAACCAGCTTATGCATTGTTTTGGAGCCAAGACAGCTAATTGGTCAGTTCACTTATCTGCCCGTCTGGCTGCCATGTGTTTGCATCCCTATCAAAGTGGGCAACCAGGTTGATTCATTAGTTTAAGAAGGGGGAGGGGGTGAGATGTTTATGGAAGCAAAACCAGCCAGCATGATGTTGATTGTATCACCTTTCTGGTGGTAACTAGTCTATAAAAGTGAATCTAGCACGATACATCCAGTGTATTTACTTACCGGGCCACAGTAGCCTAGTGGCTAAATGCCTGACTGCCGACTTGAAGTCTTGGGTTTGAATCAGCAAGTTGGATTTTTTTTAAAAATAATTGACCATGGTTCTCAGGTTGACTCAGCTTAAAATGGATGCCAGCTAATGTCCTGGGAAGTAAAGATGGCGTGCATGATTTGACCACAACACCTATCCAGTTGGTCTATTAAAATATGTCTAGCATCATATGCCTGAATCCTTTAACTTCTTTATGTTTTTAGTTTACTAATCTCAGATTTCATTAAGCAGACAATTGTAAGTTGGTTGGCATAAATGGATGATTGGATATAGAGTGAGAAAGAGGGAAGTTGGGGGGAGAACTGTGTAGACATTAAGAGAGCAGGCGGATAGAGATTTGTCTATTGATTTTCAGTTATACCCTCTTTTGTTTTAACTGAAGTATTATATAAATTCATATGTCTGGTAAATGTAGCCTAATGAAGTTGAAAAATTGTTTATGTGTCAGGTAACCATAAACTAACCAGGCTGAACATATTGTCCTGCGTCCTGTAAATGTAACCTAACCAAGGTTTAACATATTGTTTATTTGTCAAGTAAGTGCAGCCTAACCAGGCTGAACATATTGTTCTTGTGTCACTTGACCATAACCTTACCAGGTTGAAAATATTTTTCATGTATCCAGTAAATGTAACTTAACCAGGTTAAACATATTTTTCATGAATCCAGTAAATGTAAATTTACCAGGTTGCATATATTGTTCACGTGTCAGGTAACCATAAACTAACCAGTTTGAACATATTGTATTGTAAATGTAACCTAACCAGGTTTAACATACCGTTTATTTTTCCAGTAAGTTCAGCTTAACCAGGTTGAATATATTGTTCATGTGTCAGGTAACCATAAACTAACCAGGTTGAACATATTGTTTACTTGCTCAGTAAGTGCATCCTAACCAGGTTGAACAGATTGTTTACCTGCCCAGTAAGTGCAGCCTAACCAGGTTGAACATATCGTCCTTGTGTCATATTGTTAATTTGTCCAGTAAATGTAATCAATCTAACAAGGTTAAACATATCATTTATGTATCTAGTAAATATATTGTTCATTGTCCACTAAATGTAACCTAGTTTGAAAATATTGTTTATGTATCCAATAAATTTAATCTAACCAGGTTGAACATATTGTTCCTGTGTAAACATAATCTAACCTGTTTAACGTATTGTTTGTTACAGTGGTTCCAGCAGAAGACAGTCAGCAGGAGAAAGATGAATCAGCCATAACCTGCGCGGTGACCCAGACAGAGTCAGGTACATAGCTCTGTCTTTTGGTTGTCTGTTGGTCGTCTCAAATTTGTATGGACCAGTTGGTGCTGGGGGGGGGGGGGGGGGGCTAGTCACATAAAAAATCTTCAGTTGTCATTATATTATCAAACCTGGACAGTAAACTAACAATTCTTTATTCCTCCTTGAATTGGCAGTTGGCACACTGGGTTGTGGCTTACAGCTAGGCCTCAGTATTTGTGCCTTCCTTCTTTTTCTGACATGCTTGTTGGATGGTAGTGGGTCTGTTATTCCTCCCCTTTCTCCCCAGAACCCACATGGGGAAATGAGCAGTTAGAAAGTAAAGTGCCTAGAGATGCTGATATACAGAAGAACAGGTTGTATTTTGTTTAAATAAAGTCAAATACAGACATTCTGAAGAGAGAGACTGGGAATGAAAAGAGTTACTGGAAGACAAAAGAGTAGTGGGAAATTTTGGCAACATTAAAAGAATGAACAGATATAAAAACTACTGGAGGGAAATGAACGAACAATGGAACTATTTCTAAAGGGTTTCAAATTGGGCTTGCAGGCCAGTCTTATTTTCGGCCCTTCCAAGCACTCATCTTTCATATGGCAGTTGTATTTTATATATAAATCAAGCATACAATGTTCATCATCATCATCAGTTCTCGTTATGCCTAGTGGCACATGAGGCTTCAGAGAGGACTTTCCATGCTTTCCTGATCCTGTGCAATCTTCAATGCATTTTTCCATGTCAAAGATGCAGCATTCAGGTCACTTTCCATCGTTCGTCTCCATGTTGTTTTTGGGCGCCCCTATTTTCTCTTTCCCTCTGGTGTCCATGTGAGAGCACTTTTGGCAGGTATATCAGAAGTCATTCTCATAACGTGGCCAAGCCAATTCCATCTTCTCTTGGTAATCATACTGTCTAAAGTTTCTTGGTTTGTGGTTTGAAGTAGTTTAATGTTTTGAGATTGTATCTGGCCAGAAAATTTTGATAATTGTACGTAGACATGTGTGGCGGAAGGTGGACAGCTTGTGTGCATCTTTTTGGTCATTCTCCAGCATTCCGCTCCATAGAGAAGAACTGGCAAAATGATGCTCTTGTAGAGTCGGAAGTTTCGTTCCTCTGCAGTAATTGTTGGATTTCCAGATTTGCCTCATCCTTCCAAAAGCAGCTCTAGCTTTGTTCAGACGTGACTGTATGTATTCCTCTGTCCCTCCCAGTAGGGACACCACACTGCCAAGATACGTGAAATGTTCTACATTTTCAAGTGATTGGTTATTTATGGTCACTGGTTGTTGGTTTGGACTGTTTGTCATGATCTTAGTTTTCTTTGTATTTATTCTCAGTCCCACCATTTCTGCTGTGCAGTTTAGTTTGTTACTTTTCTCTTGTATATTTTCATGTTTATGTGATAGGAGTGCTATATCATCTGCAAAATCAAGGTCCTCAAGCATGGTGAATGGAGTCCATCGTATGCCTCTTAATGTCCTGTCTACTGTGTTCTTTAGTATCCAATCAATCACAAGGTTGAAGAGGAGAGATGACATAACACATCCCTGTCTTACACCCGTCTTTACTGGGAAAGATGTATTGTAATTTTTTATACTGCAGGAAAAGTCTTTATAGAAGAGAGCAATTATGTTGACTATTGTTTCTGGAATTCCATAATGTTGTAAAATTTTTCACAGACCGTCTCTAAGGACGCTATCAAAAGCTTTCTCAAAGTTCACAAAATTAATATATATACTTCTCTGCCATTCGTTGCATTGTTCTAAAATGTTCCGTATAAGCATACAATGTTCATATGTCAAAATTCATTGTATGAAAGTAAAGTAAAAGTAAAAAAGCACTGAAGCATGGGCATGTTGAAGGGAGATAAGCAGTAGGTCGGCAGTGATACAAGTGTGAGGATAGCAACAAGAAATAGACAAATAGTGTTCTCTTTGAGACAGAGTACAACTAGAAAAAGGACAGAGAATGGTGGAGATATATTGCAGCCTGCCTTCATTGTGGAGATGGCACCTGGTTGATTAATTCTCATACTTGAGCTACATAAAACACATATTTGAGCAAGACCAGCTCATGTAAAGAAACACAAATTTGAGCAAGACCAGCTCATGTAAAGAAACACATATTTGAGCAAGACCAGCTCATGTAAAGAAACATATTTTTGAGCAAGACCAGCTCATGTAAAGAAACATATTTTTGAGCAAGAGCAGCTCATGAAAAGAAACACATATTTGAGCAAGACCAGCTCATGTAAAGAAACACATTTTTGAGCAAGACCAGCTCATGTAAAGAAACACATATTTGAGCAAGACCAGCTCATGTAAAGAAACACAAATTTGAGCAAGACCAGCTCATGTAAAGAAAAATCTTCCACAATAAGAGCATGCAGCTTCAGTATCATTGTTGTCATCTCATGTATTTGCTGTGTATCTTCTCGGTCGCTCAGCTCTGAACCTATCTGCAGTCATTTTCTCCTCTATTCCTGTTCATCTAGGATTTTTCCCATCTGTGCTACATGACCTATGACATACCATGAATCCACTGCAGTACTTGTATCAGCCATATCCCACAATCATCTGACCTGTATGTGTTGAGCTAAAAACTAACATCACAGCACTTGGAACATTCCCGTCAGCACTCCATCCTTATCTTCAGCAGCTAGCGAAGAGTTGCAAATCCAGTGATGCCAGTAGCAGTTTGATTATATGTCTATCTTGCCTTTCCTCTGAGAGTAGAGTGTCGATCCCCTAGTCACTCCCAGTTGTACCCAGTTCTCTCAATACCATTATTTTTTATTAGTGCCTCGTTCATTTGCCCCCAGTGACCACATTTAGCCTATACTGCATTAATTTACCACCCATTGATGCAGAACCAGCCAGTCTTCTTCCTGTTCATTTCCTAACAATCCTACATACCCAAAAAATATTGGGGGGGGGGGGGGGGGGGGGAACCACCGCTTACCACCTGGTAGCTCACAAGCGATGCTTCCTACTCTGCACAGAGCATGCCTATCTCCACTTTTCTTAACATGCTTTTGGGTCCATTTACACCTGAATAATATGATCCGTAATAAATGAAATACCTGTAACATGGTGACACATTTTTTAATGACTTCAGGTTCGGGAGACGTGTACGTAGAGGATATAACAGGGAAAGAATCCTCTAGCCCAGAAGTGAATTCCACATCTCTGAGTCAGCCCTCGGCCAGGGAATCTGACACAGTCAGTTCTAATTTATCCTTTGTTGAAAGCCAAACGCCAGGAGGGTTGGCAGCTACCACTCAGTCTCAGGTCACAAGGTTGGTTGTCTTTTCCCTACTATTCTGCTTTTGGAAGCTGTTGGATGCAGATGCAATAGTGTGCCAGGGTTTGTGATTGTAGATACCAGCAAATAAATAATGTTAAACCATTGGAAAGTGGGGGGTTTGAATTATATCAGAACATATTTTTAATGATTGACATTGGTTTGCAAAGGTCAACAGAGCCTAAAATTAGTACCAGGAAATCAATGGAAAGTAAAAATAGCAGGTGGGATGTTGGCCCATCACCTACCCCAAAGGCTGAGTGATAAATAAAAATGAACCTAGCAACCTGCCTTTGGGATGAAGCACTCCCTATTTTACTTCTGTTTTTGGGAAGTGTGGAGAACTGGTTAATAATTGATGTTAAACTGTCAGATGTGGTGAGCTAATGAGCGACTGTTTAAACGAACACACCTGCATGTTCAAGCATTGGAAAATGTCTTCAGCTGAAGCAGATTAACAGTTAATTGCTGTAAATTATATTTGAAACCGTGAGAAAAAATATATGTTGAACCATGTGAACCAAGATAGTAATTGTATGTGTCAGTTGATCATATTGTGGACTTTTCCCCCTAGTACAATCAGCGAATTAACCAACATCGCCGCTGTAGGAGCCAGCAACCTCGGCCCCCTGGATACAGCTGCATCTGCTGGGTCCCTTGAAACCACTGCTGCCGTAGAACCCAAAGTGGCTCAGTCACTGGCATCAAATGTTAGCTTACCAGACAACCAAAGGTAGATTATATGTTCTCTTACATGTTGGTTGTTGTGTTGCTACCAAGGTACTAAGTATACATCATCATTATTATTCGTCATGCAGAGCAGCATGGGCAGTCTCACTTCTTCACAAACCTTCTTTTCTCTGAGTTCTGGGTACATTTGATGACTGATCATCTTCGCTGTAACTTTGTGAGTCCATCCAGCTTTTGTTTCCCTTCAAAACCCTTAATCTTCGCGGTGTTCACAACCTTCTCCAGGTTACATCCTCATTATCTTGTCTTGGTATCCATATTTATCAAGTACACAAAAAAGTATTCAAGTTGATTCATTGTTAACATTTTATGTTGAGATGTCTGGTGTGGATTTTTTTTTTTTTTTAAAGTTTGCAAGATAACATTTTGTGTTGAGATGCCTGATGTTTGTGTTTTTGTAAGTACACAAGATGTTAACATTGTGTTGAGAAGTAAACATTATGTCTTTTCTACATTCACATTTAAAAAAGGAGGGTTGGCATGTTTTGTTGTGATTTACAGCTAGGCTGCCATATCTGTGCCTTTTGGCCCAGACATCCACTTTCAGCAAACCCCTAGTTAGTCGCCTTGTACGACATGTTTGTTCGGGAGGCAAAGGATCTGTTCCTTTTTCCACCCAAAATGGAGCCCAGGAACCCGCATGGGGAAGAGATAAATTATGAGTATTGATTAGCACTCATAAAAGAAAAAAAAAACAAGTAGAAACTAGAACCTAGGAATGTTTCTTGCTGACTGTTTGTTAGCCCTACCCCTACCAGAGTGTTAGGTTTAAGTTTGTTGACAAGGAAAAACCTAAAACTATAGAGGAAGCCCAGCCAGTCTGTGGAGGACACATGACCAGTCTATTCTTCATCCCAGCCAGGATGCTCGCTGCGATGAATCATGGCCTCGTTGCGTCAAAGCATGCCTGTGTGTCGAGTGTGTGTATTTTTCTAGTTATTAATGCCCAGGAATAAACTCCCCGCTCCTACTCTTCCTCTAAGTGTCTCACTATCTGCTTGTTCTTTCTTGTCAACCTCACTTTGCCTACACCAGGAAGAACAAATACATCCGGGTTGTTGGTCACTCACATCTAGCCTCAAACTACTAGTGAGTAACAGTAGGTGTCTGTTTGATGTCCGTGCTTGGTGTCTATGTTCAGTGTCAGTGTTCCGGTGCTTGATGCATGCAAGCATTTTGTTTGCTGGTTTTTTTTTTCTTGTCTGTAAAGGTCCCTTTTTATGCCAGTGAAAGCCAACTCAGGGCAATATTAACTGGTAGTGAAATTACAGTTATAGGAAATAGATTAGAAACAAAAAGAGCAAAGTATAGTAAACAAAAGCCCCGTTCATAGAGAAGGGAAAGAATTATGTGGTAGAAGAAGAAAATGGATATTAGGACATGTAGCAGCAGTGTTGTAATCTGTTCGACCTTCGAGTTGGGATGTTTCCGCCTGTGACACAGGGAACCAACAGTCTGTATATAAATAATCCATATCTGTAAAATAGAGGTACACATAAATTTTGAAACAAGTTGAACATTTGGAATTGAAACTACTAGAACTTTCTGCCGGATTTTACAGCTAGTTAAGACTAAGAAGAAGAGAGTAATATGTTCAGTAGCAGATTATTCAGTGTAATAATTAGTGCAGCTGTGTGGCTGAGAGGGTAGTGAAATGGTTTCACAATACAAATCCTCAGCGTTTACCAGGGTTCAGTTACCACTGTAGGCAGTTTGGAAAAAGACCATTCTTGTGGTTTTCAGACTGTGGTATGGGAGTCACACCGTGGAAGAGATTGGGGCATCATCACCTGAAATTTCCATAGTTAGCAGTGGATGCATGGCAGCTAACCTGTATTATGGAGATGCCAGAGTTTGTTTTTGTTGGTTTAACAAAACTTTTTTGCACTGATGTTGGGGTAGATGTTGTAGTTTGGTTGTTGCTAAATATTTGATGCTGTCAGTCTTGTCATTTGTGTCAGGGCATATTTGTGGTGGGTAAATATTGCCAGATTGGGACATCAGATTTTCTTGACATGCCAGTTTGGAGATGAACTAGTTGCAGTTAAGCAGAGTTAATGCTAGTACAAATAAGCTAAGATTCTTATCTGTCCTGATGCTTCACCACTCTCCAGCAGTTGAGATAAGCTAGGGTGCCTAGTAGACATAAAGTTAGGCTCCCCATGTGGATCAACTAGTCACAGTTTGAGAACAGCTAAAGAAACCCAGTAAAGAAGCTAAGTCACAATTTAAGAACAGCTAAAGTACCCAGTAAAGATCCTCTAGAGTACCCAGTAATATCACCTAGTGTACTCAGAGAGAGACCAAGCCAGATGTGATAAAACCTGGTGGCATGACATTGATCCCCTATATTTAATCATAAATTGTAATCACAATTGAGACCAGGATGCTTTCATATAGACACCACTATTTTAGCTTTAATAACTGCAGCACCAGAAATAACTGAACAAGATATATAATAAAATCCTTACTGAATGACTCTGATTTTCTACAGATTTTTTGCTAAATGACCAGTTTGGCAATTCAGATACAAGCTGCCTCACACTTTATGCTTCTGTTTTTGATAGTGCAATAAAAATGTCAGGAACTCTTGAGCCAATATGATAAGCTAGTAGACACGTATTGATTGAAAAAAAAAGAGGTGGACACTTTTTATGTTGTCTGTTATATCCTCATCTTCTTAGCATTCACCAGTGGAAAGTTCTGCTTGTTCTAGAACTTGAGTTTTATGTGTACCTTAATTTTACGGATGCGGTGTCCATGGCTTAGGTGTTGCGAGTCCGACTCGTAACTCCAATGTACCGCAATCGAAACCCACTGCTGGCTGCGTGGGTTTTTATAATGGTGTGGGGCATCGCAGGTCAACCCAGTCAAAAATTGGTACCAGGATGGCTGTCCTGGGGAAGTAAAGACGGCCGGCGTAATGCTGACCACATTACCCACCCAGTGCCGATTGGTCTGTAAAAATATGGGGCGCTCTTCTCATATGCCCGATTCGCCTAAGGGCGTGAAAATTGATCTTTCCTTCCTTTTCCTTTTCTTAATTTTACAGGGCTGGCTTATTTTTATGCAGACTGTTGGTTCCTCACCTCTCAGGCAGATGCACTCTTTGAAGAAAACACTCTTAAATTAGTCACCTCTTATGCCAGGCTTATTGGGGAGCAGGGGCAGTGGTTCTGTATCCCCTCCCCGCCTTTTCCCCCCACAGTGGGACCCTAGAATCCAAATGGGGATGTGTCCCCCTGTCCTCCCCCCCCCCCCCCCCACCTCCCCCCCCCCCCACCCCCACAGTGGGACCCTAGAATCCAAATGGGGATGTGTCCCCCTGTCTCTCTGCTTCTATCTGTAAGTATCTGTCAATACATGTTTAGTGTTGATCACACTGTTTTAAATATTGTAATCCTGTGTTATTTAACTTTCTTTCTAAATGTGTTGTCATTGATGTTTTTTTAAAAACACCTTCAATAAAGTGATGCACAAAGGAAGTGTAGACTTGGCAGTGACTGTTGCTTGTTGTATTGGTGATTTATTTGTAAAATTCCCCCCCTCAATTTCTGATATGATATATATTTGTTTTTAAATCTTTGCAAGGGTTAGTAAGTTAATTTGTTTATTTTTTGAATTACTTGTCTTCCTGGGCATTCACTTGGATTTCATTGACAAGCAAAATAGAGGAATTATAACTGACCTGGGTCTTTTTTTTTTTTTATTTACCTAATTAGTCGCCAAGTCATCTTGTTCCCTTTGCTATTACATGTAGCGCAGCCCATATCCTCTGTCTAAATAATAAATCTAACAATCTAAGAAATCTAAAAATAAAAAATAAAATAGTCAATGTAATAATGATTTTTATAAATGATTGACAAAAAAATCTATATAAACTTATTTTCAAGGGATGTCTTATTTTCATTTTATCTGTGTCTTAAATTTTTTTTTTTTAAACACTTCCTTGTAGTTTATATTATCATTTAGTTGAAGCATTATTTTCAGTAGTATTTTTTTTTTTTTTATTTGTTCATACATTCATTACTATTTAATTCAATATATCTGTTGTATGTTTCAATGGACACACAAAGTCTGCCCATCTGACTGATGATCTTAAGTAGGGCTGATATTTTTGGGGCAGGGCTCATAATACAAGGGGCTTGAATAATTTTGTTACAACTTATTTTCTAGTTGGGTCTTATTTTTGAGGAAGCAGTAAGCCAGTGGATGATCTGACCTAAAACAGTGAAGCCCATTTACACATGTGCTCAGGAAAACACCTCATTACAGCATTTTGTAAACTCACTTAGCACATGTAAAATAAGGAACCTGAGTATCTATTTAGGCTGTCTTTCATTACTCTATCCACATTGACATTCGCTCCTTGATGATTTACATGTCAGAGTGTACTATGGTGTGTGATATTGGTCTGTAACTGTTTTTTGAGATTTCCCTGTTTTTATGTGGCTTCCAGCAGAAGAACGTTTTTTGTTATTCTATTATCAGATTTACTCAATGTGTTTCCTATACATTCACCCTTTCTTCACCTTATGATTTCCCTGTTTTTATGTGGCTTCCAGCAGAAGAACATTTTTGTTATTCTATTATCAGATTTACTCAATGTGTTTCCTATACATTCACCCTTTCTTCACCTTATGATTTCCTCAACTTGGATGATTAGCTCTCTTCCTAATCATCTAATAAGTAATTATATTCTGCCATTTTGTTTCTTCTGTTCTGTTCTGTTCTGAAAACACTAAATGGACGTTTGCAGTTTATTAATAATTGTTTTTAGTTGTCCATGTTTATAATTCGTACAACAGTACAGATTTGACGTGAGAGTTAAATATTGTAAGTTTTATAATTGTTTCAATTTCCTTTGACTTCCAAAAATAATGGTCCTCATGTATTTTGTATTATTATTTTTATATCTATTGCCCCCCCCCCCCCCTCTCCCTTTTCCCTGTTGCATAGATGTCTAAATAGGCTTAAGATTCACCCGTTGAAGAAGATTCAGTGAACTATAAAAGTAATGTATTCTTCGGTTTTTCATAATGCACATAAGATGTAAGCCCAAGTTTTCAGCTGCACTCTTCTTTTTCTTCATTTTTGGTCATCAATTTCCACAGCTTCCTGGCAACGTCTGGACTGATGAAGAATTCAAATCCTGTAGCGGCCACTTGCCCTATTAGTCAGCCATCAGCAGAGTCACCAGACAGTGGTGCTGCTGCTCTACCAGCCTCACCACCTGTGGCCGCTGTGCCTCCAGCATTGATGCCCACTACACCTTCCATAGATGACCAAGCCATGCAGGAGCCACTCCCTGGCCAGTTTCCATCCAAGGTGGAGGAGAAAATTGAGCATGTCAGGTATTGGGATCATGTAGCTATAATTTAAATGGCAATCCTGGTTCTGTTGTGTCTTCTGCTTTAATCTCCCACTGGAGCATAGGTTCTCAATAAAATCACCCTATAATATTTTATCTCCTGCATCTGCCTCCATGGCATGTACCTCGTCCTAGTTATAAGCAAGGGCATCAGGCATATGATGCCAACGCCTTAGATGATATGGTCAACACTGCACAATCTGCCTTTACTTTCCAAGACATTTTCCTAAATTCCATTTTAGGCTGGGTTCTCAGTGAGTAATGCAGTCAGCTTTGAGCCGTTTACCATTACTTCCAGGACATGTTACGGGAACCCATTTTAGGCCAGGTCAGCAGGTCACTATTTTAAATGGGTCAGAGTCTATACAGATGGGTCCGCAGAAAGTGCAGTTAGAAATGGTGGTGCTGGAGTGTACATTGAATTCCCAGATGGTACTAGGGATAAGTCCAGCGTACCAACCGGGAAGTACTGCCATAACTACGATGCAGAAACCCAGGCTATTAAGATAGCTACAGAGAAACTGCTAAATACCAACCTTGGCTCACAGTATGTGGTAATGCTTACAGATGCTAAATCAGTAGTTGAAGCACTCCAGTCTAGGAAACTACCAGAATTGCAAACACTGCTGACACAACTCAGCGTTCAGCGAAGAGTCGTAATGCAGTGGATACCGTCTCATTGTGGAGTGCCTGGAAATGAGAAAGCTGATCAACTGGCAGGTGAAGGTGCGAAAAAAGAGCAGCCAGATGTACCAGTCACATACCACAGAAAGAAAAGAATAATTAAATCGATCAGGAAACCACCAGCCCCAGCACAAGACGACTATTTTTTTATGGACAGACCAGAACAAGTCATTATCCTCCGCCTCAGAACAGGGCACAACCGATTACGTAACCACATGTACACAAAATTCAAGATAGGTGTATCAGCCATGTGCACCTGTGGAAATGTGCCCCAGACCGCAGAGCATGTACTCCAGGACTGCACCGATTTTGACACATTAAGGCAAACCTTTTGGCCAGAAAGAACAACAGTGGAACGTAAACTCTATGGACCACTGAATGAACTAACAACGACGGTGAAATTTATACAAGAGACAAAACTGCTGATATAGATAACTTATTTCAAGCGAACGAAAGAAGAAGAAGAAGAAGAAGAATCTGCTATTTATGAATTTGAAAGTATGCCAGCTGGGCTGGTAAGTAGGATTGCTAACAACTGCACCACAGTGGATGCCACAGCTAGTTTTTATTTTTATTTTATTGGAACATATCTGTGTGTTTGACTTAGTTTGTTTCACTTAGTCTGCGTTGAGGGCTGTCTTTATTCAGAGAGACTCCATCCAGGATATTGGGCTCTATATAAATAGGTTTTTGAAAACGGTTTTTGAAAGAAAGAGGCAAGCTATTTTGTCCACATTAAAGCTGCCTTTACCACTGTTTAGGGCAGTCAGGAGTCTGAGCATTTAGGGTTGCATGGCTAGGGCGGTCTAGCACAGGGAGGGTCGGGAGTTTGAGCATTTAGGGTTGCATGGCTAGGGCAGTCTAGCACAGGGAGGGTTGGGAGTTTGAGCATTTAGGGTTGCATGGCTAGGGCGGTCTAGCACAGGGAGGGTCGGGAGTTTGAGCATTTAGGGTTGCATGGCTAGGGCGGTCTAGCACAGGGAGGGTCGGGAGTTTGAGCATTTAGGGTTGCATGGCTAGGGCGGTCTAGCACAGGGAGGGTTGGGAGTTTGAGCATTTAGGGTTGCATGGCTAGGGCGGTCTAGCACAGGGAGGGTTGGGAGTTTGAGCATTTAGGGTTGCATGGCTAGGGCAGTCTAGCACAGGGAGGGTCGGGAGTTTGAGCATTTAGGGTTGCATGGCTAGGGCAGTCTAGCACAGGGAGGGTCGGGAGTTTGAGCATTTAGGGTTGCATGGCTAGGGCGGTCTAGCACAGGGAGGGTTGGGAGCCTGAGCATTTAGGGTTGCATGGCTAGGGCAGTCTAGCACAGGAGCAGGGTCGGGTTGTTTGAGCTAGGGCAGGGTTGCATGGCTAGGGCGGTCTAGCACAGGGAGGGTCGGGAGCCTGAGCATTTAGGGTTGCATGGCTAGGGTGGGGAGCCTGAGCATTTAGGGTTGCATGGCTGGGGCGGGGAGCCTGAGCATTTAGGGTTGCATGGCTAGGGCAGGGAGCCTGAGCATTTAGGGTTGCATGGCTAGGGCAGGGAGGGTGGGGAGCCTGAGCAATTAGGGCTACCATAGACTGCAGGTTAGGATTTTGTGTGTGTCTATGACAGCAAAATTGTCGCCTTACTGAGGATTCGAACCTGTGTCTCCCAAATTTAAGCTCAGTGTTCGTTGCTGTTCTGCCAGATTAAAAGAGTTAATATCCTTTAAAAAAAACATATCGGAGGGAAAAAATGTAACGTGAGCTAGCAAAAGAAAAGACAGTGGGGCACGTAGGAGGATCTCAAAAAATATGGATGAGTGGCAGCCAGAGATAATGTAAAACAAGAGACTGATAGTGCTGGAATTCATTATAGCCCATCTATTTTGAGGAGATGGCAGCTGTGTATGTTATCTTTCTGTCCCATGTTATTGTTCAAACTACTGTTATTTATTTAAACAGGAAATATAAGTGATCAGTAAAATAACAGTGAAGAATTAAATGGAATGCATTTCATGGGCCTTCAACAGATATGTATTGATTGAATTTTAAGTCAGTCTGACTTAAGAAAAGCTGTTCAATTTACCACACACAAAAACACACCTCTAAATGCTATATTTAGTTAATATATTCGTATCCAGGTTTCCTGAACACTACACAGGTGCACATAGAACCAATGGTCTGCAATGTTTTTTTTTTTTAGAACTAAGTCACGACAGAATGTTGGTGTGTCAGCATTTACAGGGCAGTGTCACAGTAGGAAGTTGCTAGATCTAGATAGATAAGTTGGCTGTTAAGTGACATAGTCATTGTCACTGCAGTTGCCTTTACTTTCCAGGACATGAACTAGTACGTACCTATTTTAGGCAGTGATGAAATGTTGCAAGCTAGCTTGATTTAGGCACGTGGTGAGACATGATTCGATTGCAAAGACTGTGCTTCAAGGATCATTGGTAGGTAGTTGAAGAGGAGGGCAAAGAAGGACCTGGAATGACAACATCAAGAAACGGACAGGACTAAGTTATCATACACTTATTCGTCAAGCAGAAGCAGAGAAAGATGGCAGGTTTTATGTGCTAGTGCTTCCATCAGTACACCCCCAGGACCCTAACAGGTCAAGGGTCATGTTAAATTTATGTTGTTTTAGTCAGGTCAGCCTGGGAGCAAAAGCCAATTATGAAGAAGAAAAAATCTGCCTTGGTGTGGATTCAAACCCAAAACTTGGATGTCTGATCACTATGCTACCACAGCTCCTGAACATGCATTAGTTTCAAGTAATGACTGCTTAGAATAGAACCAGCCGAAGTGACACCAGGACCTAATGGGGAGGGTTTAAAAACAATAATGTTGATGTCATTTCAGGGCCCCATCCATCGGAAGGTCAAGAGCTATGTGATCCCACCGCAACAGTTCTGCACAACGGCCCACTTTGATCATTGCTTCCAGTAGTCGACGGTCCATCTCAGGCCGCAGAACATCCCATCTCCCCCCGTCGACATGGAGGCAGGCTGTGTACACATATACATCAAATATAATAACTTTTGTAGCTAACATGGAAAGGGACTGGACTGGCTAAGGTGGTGGTCCCCTGTCATTGTGTCCACACACAAAAAACAAGAAGACGAAAGTGACCACTTCTCTGGACAGCAGAAAGATACAGACCTGGCACTGGAAGATAGTGTGTTTGTCTAGATAGCTTGACAAATTCTGAATAATCCCTTGTTGAAATTATCATCGTTTGTAAACTGTACAGAGGAAGTAATTTGACATTTAGATAGTTTGAATAATTCTGAATAATTCCTTGTTGAAATTATCATTGTTTGTAGACTGTATAGAGGAGGTAATTTTACATGTAGATAATTTGAATAATCCTGATTAATCCATTGTTGAAATTATGATTGTTTGCAAACTGTACAGGGAATATAATTTGACGTTTAGATAGTTTAAATAATTCTGGTTAATTCCTTGTTGAGATCATCATCATCACAAACGTGTGCAGGGAAGATAGTTGGACCTTTTCATTAGTTTATAATTGTTTCCTGTGTATATCTGAAGCTATAGTTTTGTGGCTGTTATAAGACATCTTCATATAACTTGCACTATGTAAAAATACCTATATATATATGTTCAACTCACACAGTAGCTTTATGGTTCATTATTGCCAAGTAGAATACTGGCTAGCTACAGAATTAGTAAAATTTGTTAAAATAAAATAAGGGTTTCAAACTAGAGAAAGACAGCATCAGTAGGCTAAGTGGAAACCAGCAGACCATATTCTTTCGATTCCGTACAGGACACTGGATTCTGCACCTGCCTCCATTGATTGGGTCACTACACCAAACTCTGGAATACATCCTATTAGGTTCCTAATAATTTGGCAGAAAGAGAATAGAAATCTGGTCCATGGAAGCAACTCTACAAAACACATTGTGGGAGACCAGGGTAAAATTGCAGGTGTTCATCACCTCTGCTGGAATAAGATGCATGGCAGATTGTTTGTTGCTGAAGAAGAAATAACAGGTACAAAAAATTCCATAGGAAATGCAGCAGTTGTGATGTGCCAAGCAAGGCTCACTTATACTAGGTAGAAAACAAAGGAATATTTGTAAATTAAAAACAATCGATCATGCAGATTCATTTTCTGTTCAGCTGTTGTTCACAGTGTGTCTTCTCGAATGTAGATAAAACGATTGATGAACTTCTTGGGTAGATACTACTAAAACATACAAATAGGAAGGTGAAAGGGTAGAAGCAGTTGCTGAAGAAGATAACCTAGGGGTGTGAATTTAAATCTTTATGACCAGTCTTTGAATACCAAAGGTCAAAAATACGGAAGATCCTGACATTCTACAAGATGTGAACAATTGAAGAAAAGTGGCTCGTAACTAGCACAACATGACAGAATACATTGGCGTGATTAAACACTGTGGTGAATTAGAAGTCATGTGCACAAAAGTGTTGAATCGGAGCAGACCAAGAAGAATGTGGAGAGATAATATTCGGGCAGACCAGCAAATGCAAATTGGAGTTACCAACTAGAGAGGGAGGGCCAGACACACACAGATGAATGGAGGCAGTGAACTTCAAGGGTTAAAGAAGAAAAAGAAGTGAAAGGCAGTGGTTACTAGATAGATATTGAGCAGAATGTACATGTGAACAGGATATTGGAGACATCTTTGTGGCTTGACAAAACACACAGTTAGGGAATTAGCAGGAGGTCAGGTTGCAAGCAGGAGGTCAGGTTGCAAGCTGAAGGAGTAAACAGGAGGTCAGGTTGCAAGCAGGAGTAATCAGGAGGTCAGGTTGCAAGCAGGAGTAATCAGGAGGTCAGGTTGCAAGCAGGAGTAATCAGGAGGTCAGGTTGCAAGCAGGATTAGACAGGAGCTCAAGTTGTATGTAAGTAGATGGAATAGACAGGAGCTCAGACAGCAAGTAGATGGGATGGGCAGGAGTTCAACTTGTAAATAGAGAGAGTAGACAGGAGCTGAAGTAAGTAGAGGGAATAGGATGGAGCTCAAATTGTAAGAGAAGAAATAGACACTTAAGCTGCAAGTAGAATGTGTGGATAGGAGCTCAGGTTGCAAGTAGGGGAAACTCGTTCTTTTCTGTATACAGTGTATAGAGCAAGTTTACTCAAAGGCTAAAATGTTGACAGTGAGGATCGTCACAGGGCAGAGGACCAAGCCCCAACATAGAAATATCTCGAATTAAGTGCAGCTTGCAATGATCTGCAGGCCATTTGGTAGGCTTCTGCAGGCCAGTGGGCCGCCAGTTGAATAGTCCTGGTATAATAATTTAACAACTATTAGGTAGTTTTTCCGGGACTTTTGAGCCAAGAAAAGACATGAATTATAACTGACTTCACATTAATATTCTAATAAAATATCGCTGTTTCATTAACTTAAGGGTAGTTGAGGGGTTATAGCGGGTTGTTGAAGATATGACCCCTTAGGCAGGCTAGGCAAGGGTGGTCAGGACAGACTTCTGTTGACTTTGATTGCCCAGGTCTGTCAGAGTCGACATGTGCAATCTTTCAGAGGGCAGCTGAAGACAGTTAACATTGACAGAGCCAAGAATGTGGGGGTGGGACTTATCAATACCTGTCCAAGGCGTTGTTAAAATAATCATGTGTACACGGTGGGACATTTCTCTGGCCTGGTTGCAGATGGTTAACCTAATGGCTGTGTAATTGGGTATGTAGTAAATCAAGACCAAATGAGACATTTGCATCCAGGGTGGAAGAGAAAATGGGAATACAAGGTGGCTAAACGTCCTGAGATAGAAGAGAACAGGCTAAAGAGGAATCTACAAGAAGATAAATTTGAAAGATAAAAAAAGAACATACAATTACCTCTGGGACTGTACTGTAGAGGAACTATGAACCGAGACTTGCGTCACATTTACACCTCAAGGTGAGGAGAAACTGAATTAAACATGTAGAAAAGCCAGACAGAGTATGCCAGATTATAAGAGGAAAGACAATGAGTGCATGATGCTACCAGAAGACTTACGTAATTTTTACTCCTGTAGTGGAAGCAAGGAGTTCCTAGAAATGTTTTAATGCAAATATTTTTGTGTGCTGTATAACTTTGTTTCATTTGTTCCACGTAACATAATTTTCCAGAGATAATTAGAGACCAAGTTTCCCTGTGTTGAGTGTCCGTTGTGTGGAGTGTGTGTTTACTGACTGTTCATATGTGGAGTTTGTTGACAAATAAATGATGCAGTGGTGGCTAGTTGTAAATTGCTAATGGGAATGAGAGAATATCCAAGTTAGGTGAGAATGAAATGCATATAAAAAAGATGAATGGATTCATAAGCAATAACAGTACAAATACAGTCTAACAGTGAATTGGACTCAGCAAACCTATGAAGGGAAAAATCCAGGATTGGGAACTCAGAATTTGGCCAGTGTGAGTCAGGTACCATAGAATGTTGAGCATATGCTAGAGACATGCTTTTAGATTTGTGGTTCTGGACCCCTTTAGCAATCAAACATCCCTTTCACAGGTGTCGTCTAAGACCATCGGAAAAACAACATATTTACTGAAGTTACGAAGAGGCAACAAAAATAATGTTATGGTTGCCGGTTACCACAACACGAATAACTGTATTAAATGGTCCCCACCTTAAGAAGGTTGAGAACCACTGTCTTAGATTGTCAGCCGCTACATGATTTACTGAGAAGGGGCATCTGGATACTCATGGACTGAATAGTCCATGTAAAATGAGGATGATCTGTTGACTGACCAGTCGATACAGATTTCATCTGGTCTGTGTTTTGTGCATGGTCCTTTCACCTGTTCATTGTATGTTGTGAGTGTATTGTAATGATGAGTTGTTTGATTTCTACTGTTTTGACAAACAGTAAAGGAGATGCAACTTGAGCGAGTCCATGCCGACTGTTGGTGATGTTTTCTACAAGAAGATTTATGTATGTTGATTGTGCTTGTTTTGTTTGTCTTTTAATAAACAGCTGTTGCCGAAATAATTGCCACTGTTCCACTGTGATTCTGTATAATTATCTGATTATATTATTTACATTTTGTTCAGGGGAAAGGAACTTACTGCTGTATCTTGAGGCATATTGAATATATACATATATTGCAAGGGAGCTGAAATCTAGAGCAGGCACCTTGAGGCGCCGCTCTACTTCCCCCATTTTAAGAGAGGCAAACCCCCCCCCCCCCCCCCCCCCCAATTTAAGCGGGGCTGAGCCATCTCAGTGTTTTCTTTGTGTTAGGGGGCCCATAAAGCCAGTTGGTTCTCAAAAAGTTTAGCAATTAATAATAATATCTGATGCGGTGATGTTTAACAATCACATTGCAATCTATATGGAAACTAAAAACACAACTACCAGACAGAAACAAGTTCATCATGTCAGGTTTTCTGAATGTAGTCAACAAAGAAGTTTTGAGAAAAAATAAGATGGCAATACAGTGGGCACAACTTGAGAAGAAGCAAGCACAGAACCACCAAATATGCACTGAAATGAGAAACAAATGGCCTGAGGAAACAAGGACATACAGAGAACCCTAAGACAAACGTTAGTGAGAGAGACTAAAGGTATGAAACTGGATTCAATCCATGATATTGAAAGGATGAGACAAAATAAACTGCGAGCCCATGTGACAGCAGGATGATGATGAATCAGCAACAAAAATTATCCAGAGAGACAGAAAATAAAAATTTCTCTAAGTTCTCTGTTTTCACTGGTTGTTACTGTTCTGCCTGTCTTGATATTTCTTTTTGCTGATTTATTATCATTACCCTGTGCCCAGCCACCCATCACTGCCAAAAGGCACTGTTCATCATTATCATGTGCCTCAGCTACTGTTCCCAAAAGACACTGTTCGTCATCATCATGTGCCTCAGCTACTGTTCCCAAAAGACACT